GCAGCATCTGTGCTGCCGTTGCGTCAGTGATTTAGGAATTATTGGCATAGTGAACATCAGCTCATCAGCTCAATCGTGAACTTGAGCCGGTCTACGGGACGCAGCTGACATCTACACTAAACGGGTGTTAAACCAGAACCAACCGGCTTACTTCGGTCACAGATCTTCCCAGTTCATGAGCAATCTTCTCCCAGCGACCCGGAGATCCTCCAGGGAATTTACCCATCAACCTGCTGAGGAGGCTGAGCTCGTCCTCCGTCCAGTCTGCAGCCTGAGGACATAAATGAAGAGACAGGACATCATGCACAATGTATGAAGATCGGTGATTAAAAGGTTTGTTCTCTTTGATGATACTTTTCTCTTCATCGTACTGATAAGAACTGGCGGGAGTTATCGGAGTAATAACTGACAGTACCTTCTTCTTTGAGCGGTCCTGCAGCCAGTCGTCCATTTGGTCCTCGATCTCCTCAATGGACGTGGACTGGTCATAACCCTGGCAGAGCAGGTTCTCTGATGACAACTCGTAAACAGGAAACGCCACCTTTGGCTTCTTGATCTTTGGCCTCTTCTCCTCTAAGCAGACAATGGACAGGAGGTTGAATCCCGTCAGAGCTGAGACATGCTTGAGTTAGGGAACGTTGGTCTGATGCCAAGCCTGTAAAACATATTTACTTATTACAACTTCCTGTTCAGCTTCAGCTTCTTCTTTCTGCTGCCGTTTCATCTGCTGGTAGTCCTCATAGTACTGCTTCATCTCCTGAAACACACAGACATTTTTTGTCAGAAAACAACTTGTAAATGTACTCAGTTGGCTCCGCCTCCTACAAGGTGGATGCAATCTGTGAACCACGACAACTAAGAACAGGTGGAGATGCAGGTAATCCTTCATTCATTACTAACTGCGGGATGTAGTCTGCCATGACAGCAATATGATATACGTCTCATTTGTAAACAACATCTTCATTTTCCGACTCTCGGTCCGCTGGTGGGAGCGTGACGGAGATCAGAGGAGGGGAAGCCTAAACCAGTGGTCCCCAACCTTTTTTACCCCACGGAGCGTTTTCATGTCAGACAATATTTCGCGGACCGGTCGAGAAGGTCCGACGGGGGGGGTAGTCGTGGGCGGAACCACCGAGGGGGGGGCGGGGGGGGATAGTAGTCGCGCGCTCTGTGTTCGCTGGTCGGCGAAACTGCCGTGCACGGTAAAAGGACAAGACAAACGCCTGGTGACGCGTGGGGAATATGTCAGAGGGACGAGCGCACATAATAACAATTTTCAAAATAAAAACACTTTTTCAGAAAAAAAATATATATAAGCTTTCTGTGGTGCGGCCCGGTACCAAACGGCCCACGGACCGGTACCGGTCCGCGCCCCGGTGGTTGGGGACCACTGACCTAAAGGACTCTTTTGATGGTTAGGTAAAGAGACAGACAGGTGGAGTACCTGGATGGTCTCCGGCAGGTTCTTGATGGACAGGTAAAGCCAGATGCTCAGCTTCAGAGGGAGGATGTCCTGCCAGTGTGGGCGATTGTGAACTCTAGAACAACAAACACACAAACAATAACAAACACAAACTGACCAAATAAACAGTAGACCCAATGATGACGCTGTACCTGTCGCTACGCTCCTGGCCAATACACCTGAGCTCCTCTGCAGGTCTGGAGCCTAGCTTCCTCCTCTTCTCTTTCTTCTTCTTACTCAGCAGCTCGTCCTGAACGCATGAAGGATTCATGAACACATCAAGTCTCTTTTGATTGGGTATATTAGTGCCTGCTGCGTTGTTTGTCCGGCCGACTCACCAGCTGTTTTTCCAGGTAAATGGACCAAATGACAGCGTAGTGTCCCACCGTGAGGATGAGGAAGAGGAGGAAGGCCAGCTCAGCGTTACTCATCTTCCTCACTCGTCTGTAGTAGAACACTGGCTGCCGCCAATCTGGAAGCCCGTTCTCTAGGATATCGTCATACCTGCAAAACATACATACATGAGGAAGGAGGTCTAACGAACCGGTGGCAGAGGTCTAAAGTACTAGCGACAAAGGTCTGGACATGATGTAGAGACATGAGACTCACTTGCTTCGCCTCTCCTCGTCCTTCAGGACTTCATAAATGGCCACCAACTAAAAACAAGGGTAAAGAGAGGATGAGATGTTTGTTGATGAATGGAGTCATCCAAGTCTTAACGGTGATTATTGGCCGCAGTAGTTTGTACCTTAGCTGTAACACTGTATGGAAAAGTGAATTAGTTATGTTCTTACATGTGTAGTGTATGTGTGTTGTGTGTATCGTAAATCGAATAGAACATCATTAAGAAGAGACGTTTCTCACTTGTCTGAACTGAGTTTCAGCGTTTTCATCTTTGTTCTTGTCAGGGTGCAGAGAGAGAGACAGTCGTCGATACGCCTTCTTTATCTCTGCTGCTGAAGCATCCTGAGACAGAGAGTCAGTGGGACAAACAGACGGTTTTACTTGCTGTCAATAAATCCTACTAAAGCACTTAAGATTTGAAATCAGCAGTTAGTTAGCAAAATAAAATGTATCCCCCCCAAGCCAGCGCGTTACCTCCTGTACCCTCGACAGGTGACTTCCTTCATATTCATCAACATGAGCCACATTGACTGTATTTAAATACTGGTCAAACTCATTCAAAATAAACAAAATTATGGTTTGTTTTTATGATAATGAGCCACCTTAAATAGTGCCACCGGAAAGCATTGTGGGTTATCATTTTTTTAATTTTCATTATCATTTTTATATCGCAGGTTCAGTGTTTCCTTTGGTAAGAAGCTAATGAAAGTATTGAACCACCTCTCGTTAAAGTTTAAGTTAGAGGATTTAAACGGGTTTTTTTTATCATGGAGGAAGGGTAATATAACTCAGAGGAACCTTCCCTAAATTAATGGATAATTCGAACGCAGACCACGTCATGCAATGAAGCTACAACTACATCCGGGTTACTTCTAGCCTAAGCTAACTGTTAGCATACCTTCGGGCTAGTGTTCACTGCCCTGCTACAGCTTATAACTAGCAGAGCTGCTCTGTATGTACGTGGCAGTCGGGTGATAGAATTAGCACTAAGCTAGCGGCTACTGTCTGTAACCATGGAGACAGTTAGCCGTTAGCACAGACCTGATCGAGGGACAGGAACTGGTAGAAGTTCTGCGGGATCTCCTCCACCAGGTCCAACAGCTCCAGATCCGCGTCCCAGGCTGTCAGGGGGGGGGCTGCACAGACCAGCAAGGTCAGATAGACAAGCAGGGACCCGCAGAGACCCGGACAGACCGCCATCATACACGGACCGCTAACAGCGAGATCTCAGAAAGCGCAGATGTCGACACTCAGCTTTGAGACCACCGGAAATAATACCCATCACATCCGGGTGATACAGAACTGTCAAAACAAAAGACCTCTGCGTTGACTGCAGCGATATCAAGAGGACCAAAAATAAATCTATCAATTCATTGATTCTCACACACATGAAACTCAGAGAAAGAAACTTTGTTTTTTATTATTTATTTGTATAACTTTTACAACAACCTCATCTCTACACTTTATAAGAATGTTTATTATATGGTAAACAGTTAGAAATACATTTAAAACACAATGACAGAATTTCATCCACGTCTGCTGTTCTGTTTGAAATGCAATAATAAGAAATAATAATTATCACCTTTTTAAATACAGATTCCCTTTGTTCTCATTGTCAAAAAGAAGGAAGGTATGGAGTCACAGGTTATGAAGGTTTAGTTTTGGTCTTGAACATTGAAAAATACAATATACTTAAGATTGTATTTTTCAATGTTCAATTGAAAAGCAGGAAACCGATGGATTGCCTACTCCAGGTAGGGAATGTGTCCTTACCCCAAGTGAAGGAGTTCAAGTACCTCGGGGTCTTGTTCATGAGTGAGGGGAAGATGGAGTGTGAGTTTGGGTGGAGAATCAGAGCAGCGGGGGCGGTGTTGCACTCGCTTTACCGCACCGTTGTGACGAAAAGAGAGCTGAGCCGGAAGGCAAAGCTCTCGATCTACCGGTCAATCTTCGTTCCGACCCTCACCTATGGTCATGAAGGACGGGTCATGACCCAAAGAACTAGGTCACGGGTACAAGCGGCCGAAATGGGTTTCCTCAGGAGAGTGGCTGGCGTCTCCCTTAGGGATCGGGTGAGAAGCTCAGCCATTCGCGAGGAGCTCGGAGTAGAGCCGCTGCTCCTTTGCGTCGAAAGGAGCCAGTTGAGGTGGTTTGGGCATCTGGTGAGGATGCCCCCTGGGAGCCTCCCTAGGGAGGTGTTCCAGGCACGGCCAGCTGGGAAGAGGCCCCGGGGAAGACCCAGGACTAGGTGGAGAGATTATATCTCTGCACTGGCCTGGGAACGCCTTGGGATCCTCCAGTCAGAGCTGGTAGATGTGGCCCGGGAAAGGGAAGTTTGGGGTCCCCTGCTGGAGCTGTTGCCCCCGCGACCCGACCCCGGATAAGCGGTTGAAGATGGATGGATGGAATATACTTAAGATTAAAAAAAAATAAAAAATAAAAATAAGTGGACAAAAGTATTTTTGGGTTGAATATAGTTTGGATCGGGTCATTATTTTCAATAAAATATTGAAGAATGGGGTGAGGACTGCTGGACACCCAGCAGTGTGAGGATACACGTGAGGACTGGAGCAGCGGCGGCTGTGCTGAGGTCAGTCAGTGGTGACGCCCCTTTGGCTGCAGGAGCGGGGGTCTCCGGTGGGGTCGCAGTGGCACACGGTGATGGACAGTGTGGTGGTGCTGCTTAGAGGCGGCGAGCCATCTCTGACATCCCCACCGGCAGGAAGTGAACCAGCTGATCTCACTGCAGGAAACCAGTGCGAGTCACAAGAGACGCGGTGTTGTCTGAGGACAGAAGGGTGTGAAGGAGATGGATCCGTCCATTGTTTTATTTTTTTTTGTCTTTCAGACTTCTTTGTTCGAGGTCTGTACCGGGGATGATGATGAAATGATGTGAAAGTACAGCTCATAAGGCTATTTAATCATGAACCGACATGGCGGTGTGTTTATTAACTCCCAAAACTAGGATTTGTACACAAGAGAACCTGAAACAGAAACACAGTACTACGGCACTTCAAAGGAATATTTCTCAATCCTAGTTTTCAGCAGCAATAGTGAGCACAGGATATGATTCAGTATAGTGTCAACATGTGTAAAACTATTTCATAGTCACTCAATATATCAAATCAGCTGGTGCCAACCTTCTTCATGAATCAGAATAGTTTGAATGAAACAGGTGAAACATGAGGGACTTTGACTGAGCAGTGACTGACAGGTTGTATCCATGGCGATGAGGAACAAGCCTCTGAATGGTCTCTTTCACTTCTGAAAGGACTTCAGTTTAGCGGCTTCCTGTTGTAGTCCAGTGAGTCTTGTTGCTTCCTCTCAGGACGTCCATCTGAAGCCGGCTGAAGAGCTTCCCAGGGATCCTGCAGCATTGACCGACTGAAATATTTCTCCACTGAAGATTCCGCCTGAAAACAGACTCATGCATTTATTATCATCAGAGACATTATATATATATGAAGACAAATGGACAAGGAGAGGAGACAGAATCAGAAACGGAGGATCAGAAAAGTGCAGCAAGGAAATATAAATGAAAAGGACAGTAAGTAATAAAAGTAGAAAATATGAGCCTGAGAGCGTTTTCATTTACATGGGTGCTAATATATATATATATATATATAATATATATGTGTCTCTACATGGTAATTAGTTATTTATAGAATGAGACAACCTAATTAAAAGGTCAAATATGGAATTTACTTTGACACGACCAAAGTGTATTTGCAGAAACAGGAGGCGAATCAGGAAGAGGAAGAGGAGGGGGGCACAGACCCCACAGGGGGGGGCAGGCAGCCCAGATGTGTTTGTGTGTCTCACAATAGCCGGTGTTGCAGTGTGATATCTTATTGCCAAGGTCGGAACCAGGGTCATAGGTCATTTTGAGACCCTTTAACGAGTTTAATCTCATAGTAATGATTCCAATGACGATGGACATCAGTCCGGCTCAGGGCCATGACAAAGTTAACTTTTATGATTAAAAAACAGTATTTGGCTTAAAAGGTAGTGAGCTCACCTTCACGTTAACACCATTAAACCCCCGAACATTTGGATCAATTGATTTACTGGAACATTAGCTAAAAACCCACGCATGTAGGACCCAGTGCTGCAAACACATGCTCATCTTATTAAACTACTAAGTTAATAAGTTACCTGCATGCGGTGACTGGACGTCGGACCACATGAACCCCCTCTGGGTCGCTTCGATCCTCCGAATCCCCGTGACCCGCTTCCGTCCCCGTAGCCGAAGCCTCGCTGAGACCCCGGAGACCGCAGCGGGGACTCGTAGCAGGAACCGGAGCCTCCGTAGGGAGAGCGAAGCCCGGGGAAACCCCAGCGGGGAGCCGGGGACGGAAAGCGGTCAGTCGGCCGCGGAGCTCCGGGACTCCACTGAGGTCGGTCTGGTCCTCTGTACATGGCGGCTATAAAACAACGAGACTGGAGGAGGCTCGAAGAGTTCTGCTACTGGACAAACACAACGGCTACGAAACCGGAAATACACGCAGATCCACTTCCGGCCGTGCGGATTGCAGCGCCACCAAGCGGCCACCGGGATGGTCAGAGATCTAAGACGTCAATAAGCAGCAGAACCGGCGCTACAAGTATAAACGCCACATGTTCCAACACAACACCTGAGTGATCAATATCACAACTCACTCCAACACAACACAACACCTGAGTGATCAATATCACGACTCACTCCAACACAACACAACGCCTGAGTGATCAAATATCACAACTCACTCCAACACAACACCTGAGTGATCAAATATCACGACTCACTCCAACACAACGCCTGAGTGAACAATATCACAACTCACTCCAACACAACACAACGCCTGAGTGATCAAATATCACGACTCAATCCAACACAACGCCGGAGTGAGCAAATATCACGACTCACTCCCAACACAACACCTGAGTGATCAAATATCACGACTCACTCCAACACAACACCTGAGTGATCAAATATCACGACTCACTCCAACACAACACAACACCTGAGTGATCAAATATCACGACTCACTCCAACACAACACCTGAGTGATCAAATATCACAACTCACTCCAACACAACACCTGAGTGATCAAATATCACGACTCACTCCAACACAACACCTGAGTGATCAATATCACAACTCACTCCAACACAACACCTGAGTGATCAATATCACAACTCACTCCAACACAACACCTGAGTGATCAATATCACAACTCACTCCAACACAACACCTGAGTGATCAAATATCACAACTCACTCCAACACATATCTGTGGAAAGAACTAAAGGTCAGAGTTCACCAAGAAGGCCCACAGGACCTTGAATGTCTGAGGACTGTGTGAAAGAATAAAATTAAACGACTATTTCCTTAAAAGAGACGACTTGAAGCTTAGTGACCAACACACACACACACTTCATGACAAACTTTATTTACCACGAAGTGAACCAATTTAACAGCAGTCTCACACACAAATGTGTAGTTGGGCCCCTAATGCACTGCAAGTCTTCACGGCGTGGCGTCGTCCCTGAGGGGGCTGAAGCTGTGGATCTCTGAGACAAGCCTCTCTGCAATGGTTCTGCTGTTAGCAGCAACGATCCTTCTGGACATCAGGTCGGCTGCTCCCCCTGGACACAACGTGATGATGTCATCGATAATGATGTGATGTGTCAATCATCAGTAGTGTGACTGAGCTTGCGTTTGAGTTCTTTACCGTCCACGTCCATCAGGACTCCACCGGCCTCCGAGACCAACAGGGAGCCTGCAGCCACGTCCCACACATGGATCCCCACCTCATAGTAGGCCTCAACACAGCCTGAGGCCACATGACACATGTTGATGGCTGCGGTCCCTGCACCCCGCACCCTGGAGACCACGTAGAGGGTTAAAGTACACAGTACTACTGCAGTAGTGCTATTCATAATGCTGGAGTATAGGTTATATTACCCTGGAAACAAAAATACACGGTTAAAGTAGACAGGCCAAGTATAATATTGGTAGTACTACTGCAATATCAGCAGTATTACCCGTGTACAGGGATGCAGAGAATACTCCTCAGGCTCAAGAAGATCTTCTCTACAGCTTCAGGGTCTCTGCTGGATCCGAACTCTGTGCTGATGATCGACTGTTTAATGTCTGACAGTGAGAAAGAAACAGTTCATCATCTCTTTCTGTTCCTGTCAGTTGTGATAAAGCCAGATATGAGTTTTGCACCAAGTAATAAACAGAAGATTTTATTTCACATTGGTCATTTAGCTGACGATTTTATGCAAAGCCACTTACAATAAGTGTATTCAATCAAAAGGGAACACAACCAGAACAACAAGAACCAAGAACCAAGTACAAAGTGCTGCAGGTAACTGCCATCGTAGGTGTGAAGTGTAATCTTATCAGATATAGTCGGCAGACGTGTGTTTTCAGTCTGCGTGCGTTGAACATTTAATCTAAACAATCGTCTTTGGACTCGACTAACCTTCCTGACCAGAAACCTGCAGTGGCTCTCCATTACAAAAGGCTCCCTTCCCCCTTCTCGCCGTGTACATCTTATCTTCCAAACAACTGTAGACCACAGCAAACTCCATCTGAAAGTCATAGAAATAGTGGTATGGAATAGCAGGTCTACAGGGCTCGCTCAGGTTTCATTTTAAACATTGATAGGTTGTTTATAATGTAAACAAGTATAAATGATCTCCAGGATCACAAGTGGACCAAGTTCTGTTACCAGTGAGTTGGTTAGGACTTGGACTAGTTCTTTAACTTACCTGTCTGTTGACAGAAAACCCAATGGAAACCGCAACAAAGGGAAATCTGTTAAAGAGACAATTACATATTTAATGGCGGTAAAATATTACATTAATAGTCAACAGAAATATAAGTAATGGCCTCACAGTTGTTTTGCCTCCATCAACCTGTAGCAAATAACAACAAATGTCACCACATCATTACTAAACAGTGTTAAAGAGTCAGGATTTCTCAGGTTATGACCAAATACATGTTTTTACAGCATATAGTCTGCGGCCACTTTAGTAGGTAAACCTGTTCAATTGCTTGTTAACAAATTGCTAATCAGCCAATCACATGACAGCAACTCGCTGCCTGTAGACGTGGTGAAGACCACCTGCTGAAGGTCAAAGCGAGCATCAGAACCGGGAAGGAAGAGGACTTAAGTGACTTTACGAGTACGTCACAAACTGCTGATCTACTGGGATCCAAACACACAACCATCTCTGTGGTTCAGAGGTTGCTCCCAAAAAGAGAAACTATCCAGTGAGCAGCAGTTGTTGATGGTCAGAGGAGAACAGGCACACTGGTTCCACGTGATAGAAAGCAACAGGAAGTCAAATAAGCACTCGTTACCACCAAGGAACGCACAACACGTGGAACCTGGAAGAAGACGGGCTGCAGCAGCAGAAGACCACACCAGGGGCCCCTCCGGTCAGCGACCAACAGGAAACAGACGCACACAAGGCCAAAGCGTCTCCACCTTTCAGTGAGCCGGTGAGCGGAGTCCAAGCCTCTCGGGTGTGTTGTGCTTACTGCCAGACGAAGCGGGTCTTCTCGTAAAAAAGGTAAACTGGTCCACTGATTTGATTTTATGTTGACATGACAAACGTGGAGCCCAAAGAAAGGTTGTTAAAGCTCAGCCTCATTTAAAGCAGCTGCAGTAATACCTTTATTTCTCAGTGTGAGAAGCAGATAAAAACAAGAAATTAAAAAAAACACCTGACGGCCGAAACATTTGGCTCCTATTTTAAATATTTGTCTTTGTAGAATGTTCAACACATTTACTCCTCATCATCATCATCATCATCATCCAGGGCTGTCAGATAACTACTTCTTGTGCGATATATTGGACCAAAACTAACTGCGAAATGATTGCAATTTTCAAACCATTTTTTAAACCTCAGAGGCTTAAAGTCTGTACACATGCGATATCCTTGCATTACTGTGCTATTATATGGTCAAATAATAGCGTAATATGGCAAGTACACTCTTTCAAAGAACAAATAGAACCGAATAGTTAGACATTAGAATCGGAATGTGAAAAAAATATCCTAAATAATAAGTGTGGGGACACGGAGCGGGTCTGGTTGGTCCGCTGCGGTCGGTCAGCGGAACGCGAGGCGGCTCGGTGCCGCTGACAACCGGCCGGCCGAAGAGCTGAACGAGCGTCCGGAGGAAGCGACAGCGTCCAGCCTAAAGACTCCGTCGTGTTTCTAAACCAAACCGGCTGCTTCGCCTTATCGGCTCTCTTCTCTCATTCGGCTTGAAGCCCAAAGGTTCCACTTGGACTTTATCCTGATTGTCTGTAGATGTCACGAAAAATAATACTGTGTGAGTGTGTGTGTGTGTGTGTGTGTGTGTGTGTGTGTGTAATCGCTGCCTAACATTCGATATATACATATGTAGAATATATTGCAGCACTAAGAATGATTTCCATATACTGTGTGATAAGTAAATATATTGCGACAGGCCTGTCATCATCATCATCGTCTTCACCACCACATCATTATGTCAATGAAGCTTTAGATGGCAACCTTGTGTTGGAAAACTAATTATTGGCATGAAATATCAATAAGATGATTAACGAACATGAATAATAATGGAGCCCCCCCCTGAGTTGAGGGATCATGATGTACAATCCTTCCCCAGATCTCACTTCCAGATCTCGGCTCTAGTGGAACAAGGTTCATGTCATGTTTGATTTATTATTATTTGTAACTCACGCATGAACAAAGTTTGTCGTTCCATCGATTGGGTCCACGATCCAGGTGGGACAATCAGTGAGGACACAAGCTTCACCTGCAGCTACAGACTCCTCCCCTATGAAGCTGACACACACACACACACACAAAACAGAGCGTGTCACATAATGTCATCATGCGATTTCTGCTCATAGAGAAAAAAATGAATTGAATAGAATAATGATGGCTAAATGTGTGTGAGACACTGAGCTGCAGCGTGTGATCTTAATGTCACGTTTGGGTTCCACAAGGTCTAAATAATGATTCCTGTCCAGCATCGATGGCGCTCGTACAGGAAGCGACGTCATAACGGAGCTTTGTGATCCGGAGAACTCTCTCTGTGAAACATTCATCTCACTGATGTCCTTCCTTCATCAATGAGGGAGTGATGAACTAATCCAGCAGCTCAGATGAACCTGCGTCGGAGCAGGTTCAAGTTTTTCGACGTGTTGCTGTGGTGATTTTTCCACACTTGCTTTGTGAAACTGAAAAGCCTGATTCATGTAATCTTATCCTGAAAATGATCCTGCTAACTCGGTTAGCCAGGCACGAGGAGCGGGGCCCTGCTCCGTGGATCTGATTATGAACTGCCACACAGGTGGGCGGGGCTTCTCACCTGTGAGTAGGGAATTTCTCCTTCACTGATTGGATGATGAGTTGCTCCACCTTCTGGTCGGTTTGCGTCACGAGATCAACTGAACAACTCTTTGTCATCACCTTCCTGTCGTCCTGCAGAGCCTCACGCACCACCTGATCAATGAGCTGATCAGTAGGACTCAAGGAATGACTCTCACACACAGACAAACACACATATACGGCGTCTGACCTCTCCAGCTCTCCTAGCGAGGGCGACAGCATGATCCATGGCGTTCTGCCAGAGGTCGGCCATCTCAGATGTAGAGCCCTATAAGGAGACAAACAGCAGCATCCTCAGTGGAGCTGAAGAAGAACCTGGTGGGTGTTACATAACCCATAAAACATGGCATATATCAGATGGTTGGCCTTGAATAGCCTGTTGAATGTGTAAATACAGAACATCATTATTATTATTTGATTATAGTCCAACATCCTAATGTATACAATGTTCTAAGTCAAGCAGGAAATAAGGAAACCAGTAGGTCTGAAAACCAGGCGTGTGTCACACCGTAACCGGTCCGTGCTGACAGACACGAACAGCGACGAGGAGCAGCAGGATTGTTCATTGTGTGACATGACGTCATTGTTGTGTGTCCACCAGGAGACGCATCCTGCTCGGTCTCTCACTAAGGTTTCTTCCCTTTTTTCCCCATGGAAGGGTTTTCATTTTGTGGGGAGTTTGCCGATGGGAGGTTTCGGGAAAGAGGATGTCGCATGTGTACAGACTTTGGGCTACACAAAATAAAATTAATTGAATTGAAAGTGGAAGGCGGTGATTTAAGACGGAGTTCTAACATGAAGCACAAACAGGCAGGAAACCACATCTAATAGACAACATTAAAGTCTGACCTGCCGACAGTCTGATCCGATCAGCGGCTCAGCGTACTTCCGGGTTTCTTCTTCTTCATTGTCGAGCAGCAGAGTGCTGCCGCCTCCTGGTGGTGACCGACAGGTAGTCCTATAAACACAAACAAATGACCATAGTACCTGAGCAGGTAGAGAACAGAGTTCCAGCACAGCGTTCTCCACGTCCATCACAGGGGCTCAGGGTGAACCTGCTCTCAGCTGTGAAGTGGTGGACGCGCTGATTCTGGTGTTCTATAGCAGATGCCAATGGAGCTCCACGGTGCTGGGCAGCGAGCACAGGGAACACTGCAGGACGCCTTGGGACCACCCTCATGAAGTCTGATGGTTTGGGAAGACCTTCACCCCAGTGGCCTGCTGGAGGTCAGTCCGTAGGGCTCAACCGGTTCCTTGTGCATAAAGCAGTAGATATCTGTCCTGCTGATGGGTTGAGGACCTTCTACGGCTCTGTCCAGCTCTCCGACAGGAACTGCCTGTCCCCTGAATTTCCTCCATGTTCTGGAGATTGTGCTGGTTGGACAAATTGTGTGACTTCTGTAGGTTAAGACATGGCCTCATGCCCCAGTAGTGATGGTGCCTCTAGCTAAAGCAAACACTTCCAGTCAGAGAGATCAAGAGGAACGAACTGGACTTGGCCTCCACATGCAAAACCAGTCCTGTTGGGGGGTTGTCTCACTATTGCACCGGTTAACTCGGCACCAATGAGGCTGAAACCGATTAACAACCCCCTACTTCCCTGACTGGATCATTACCAGAGAAGTTTAATTCATGCCAGACATAAAGATTTTCTTTCATTTTTTTAGACAAAATTTTATATACACACAAACCGTAAACTAAGAGATCTTATTTCAGTTTCCTAGCACACAGGTTTCATGACTAGGTAACTTAGTTTTATGACTAACTTAATGTTAGTTTGTTTGATAGTATGTTAGTATATCATAGTAGATGATTCATATTTGTTGTCCCCTTAGCTCGGGGATCCAGCTAACAAGCCCCGGGGGTTAGAACACATTAGGAAAATAGATTTCACGAGCAAAAGAAAATGATGAATAGGTCTAAATAAATGTTTTATTAAAAGTTCTACTGCAAACAAGTTTGTTCTGATGATAAAAATGGTCGATCTGATTAATGGAGCAGTAATACACAGGAAGTCATCATTTGCCTTTCTTCTTGGACACTTTCTCTTTCCTCTTCTTCACATGTTTTGGTACTTTATTCTTTCTTTTTTCTCTCTGTGCTTCTTTCACCACTTTCTTTTTCTCCTGAAATACAAAAAACATCCTTACTTTTTATTTACATGTCAAAGACAAATAAACAGTGGCGGCTGGTGGAATTCTTTTTTGGTTAGGCCTCTAGTTTCTACGATTCAATGCGTTATTACTCTGATATTAACATTTATTCTTAGTAGTTTGTGGTTCAGTAACAACATAACAAGGACATCTTATTCATACATGAATATACAAATACCATATTATATAAATACCATACCATCATTTATATAAGATACCCCGATGAACCTAGTGTGTTGAGGAAAGACTTCACAACACATCACACAAGCCATTATTTGTCAGGAAGACCAATATCATTTGAAATATGAATCATATTACTGTCATAAACCAGTCTTTGTGCTTTGGTTCTATCTGATGATGGTGGTTCTTGTTCCTGCCGTGTTACTACTTACAATTATTTGAATCATTTCTGTTATAGGAACTAAACGTATTATACATCTTGGACATTGTCCATCAGGAGACGGATGTCTTTCTTCTCCATGAAGGCTTTTCATTTTTGTTCCTGTGCCGATGTGACGCTTCGGGACAGAGGACGTCGCATGTGTACAGAGTGTGATTTAGGGCTATCCAAAATAAAATGTCCTTTTTTAATCCACTTCCTCGTTAACTTTTCATAACACGGCGAGCTTGATGTATTTATCCGTGTGCGTCCTGGTGGTCGGATTTCTTTTCTACAACTGCTTCACGTCCCTTAATTACATATCCGTCCCTGTGGATTCCGTCCCTGTGGATTCCGTCCCTGTGGATTCCGTCCCTGTGGATTCTGTCCCAGTGGATTCCGTCCCTGTGGATTCGGTTGTGTTGTAACTTAGATGTAAGTTAAGTGTGTAGTTTACATTTGACTTTGTTAATTATTTGACTACTGATTTAAGTGAAGTTAAGTTTGTATTGGATGTATTTAAATATGCATAATTGCCTTAATGTGATTTGATTGTTTCATTAGTAGTGTTGTTTGATAATGCAGGTGAATGAGTAACTACATTTCCCATAGTGCATAGCACTACAGTTTTTTGCCTGCAGATTCTGCGAGTAAAGCTTCTTTGGTTTTGGGTCCAGTTGTTTCACCTCTAAGTTCTTCTCTCAAACGGGTTCTGAAGGACAGAACGTGCAGAGTCCGGGTCGGGTCTCCTTGGAAGAACACTGGTCGTGCTCGCGATGGCCAAGACGTTACGCCAGACTAACCCTGACGAGGGCGCAGCGTTGGGACAGACCCAAGCTGCGACGGCTAAATGGATTTAGGACGCTGATTGAATGACATGTCAGGCCATTTACATCTTTAATCAGTGATTGGCTGAACTGCTTCTTAGACCCGCCTCTTTTGGACCTGGCCCGGGCCCAGCGGAGACATGCAGACATGCGGAGAGGACGTGCAGGAACAGCATATATCTTGAGCAGATATCCTATTTAACAAATGTTACTGGGTATTGTTTCCTAATATATGAAGAGCGTTTAATACCTTTTTGTCTATCTGGGCTTCCTCACTCTGCTCCCCCACAGTTTCCTCTTCTTCCTCTTCTTCTTCATCCGGCGAGGACGAAGACTGGTCATTTTCCAGGAGCGCCGGTACCTGCGAGGATCAAACAGAGTAAAGCGGTTCGTCTGTGCGTCCACCAGCTGGTCCCGTTGTTCCGCTGGTTCTCAGTGATTGGTGCAGTGGTGTTGCCTTTGACATTCAAACAGAAAACTGTTCATCATCATTTTATTCAATAAACTTGTACTGTTTGTTCTTATAATTATATATACACAATATGTGTGTTAATCCAATTGTCTAGACGTTACGACGCATCATACAAATAAATGGCAGAATAAGCTGCTTTTACCATGTTGCACATGATGTAATGGCAAACATGTATGTAGCCCTTCAAAATGTCCCATTGAAGGAAGTTCTACGTTGCAGACGCTGGGACGGGCCATGGGAGGGACTGAGCTCAGTCTCAGTCCGGCTGTGGACACCAACACGTTGGTGGAACTTCCCTGTTAAGGGGGAGGAAGGTTCTTGGCGGTCTACGCAGCACGTGGCTGTGACCATTTTCCCCTTGCAAGGAAATAAACGGAGAAAGACATATTTGACTCGGAGCCTTATTCTTATTTACTGATTGTCTGCAAAATCTTCCACAACAATTTGGTGTCAGAAGTGGGAGCGTTTGAAGTTCCGTCGGTCCTGTATTCTTCAACGTGTACGTCGAACTCTGCTGTGCCTTTGGGCGCCAGAAGGTTACGGCATCTACATTACGTATCAAACATGGACCGATTAAAATCGAGCTGTCACTCAACATTTGCTCGGCTGACGTCACTACACAGCTACGCTGGAGGGGCAACCCCCTGAAGTACAAAGTCACACTCAGATATCAGGTTTTACGTCTTCACGAGGAAAGAGCGGCGGATGGATTTGATGTAGAAATACTCTAAAGATTGGAGAGTAAGAAGCTATTTGGGGCTTCATGTTCAGCAGCGCGTGTTCTCATCGATTGTCCACGCTGGGTGAGCCGGGAACCACAAGGCTGGGGGTTCGAGCCCCGGCTGCTCCATGTCCCCGAGCAACACACCTGACCCCTAACTGCTCCCTGGGAATTTCTTTTTTTTTTAAAGCCAGGGGTTAGAAATATAATGCAGATCGCTTTGGATCGAAGCGTCGGCTTAATGAGCTGTAATGTAATAATTGTCCACTGTTCAATAATTAAGCATCAAGGTCCAAGAGGCTGAACTTTCATCAATGTTACAATCGGTTGTGAAAGTTAACGTTGCCCCAAACGGACGCGGTTTCCAGTCATTTATTTTTCCTGCGATTGCCACTAAAATCGAATAACGTATCGAGTAACATAATATGTTGTGTGTGTGTGTGTGTGTGTGTGTCTCCCTGTTGGAGGTTCCCTGATGTCGATGTGTGTGTGTGTGTGTGTGTCTCTCCCTGTTGGAGGTTCCCTGATGTCGATGTGTGTGTGTGTGTGTGTGTGTCTCTCCCTGTTGGAGGTTCCCTGATGTCGATGTGTGTGTCCCGTGCTTCTGCGTAACGTTTTGACGCGTTTCCTAATCAGGTAATCAGACTTTCATACTTTCACCGGCCTTTGAAGCAGCTTCTGGCCGAGGCCACAGAGAAGGACCTTCCAGTAGCAGAAGGACCTTCCAGTAGCAGAAGGACCTTACAGTAGTAGAAGGACCTTACAGTAGCAGAAGGACCTTACAGTAGCAGAAGGACCTTACAGTAGTAGAAGGACCTTACAGTAGTAGAAGGACCTCACAGTAGCAGAAGGACCTTACAGTAGTAGAAGGACCTTACAGTAGCAGAAGGACCTTACAGTAGCAGAAGGACCTTACAGTAGTAGAAGGACCTTACAGTAGTAGAAGGACCTTACAGTAGCAGAAGGACCTTACAGTAGTAGAAGGACCTCCACCTGCTCAGAGGATCGTTTGGACTTTGCAGGAAACGGGACTGAACTTTTTTAAAGTCAAAGCTTTATAATCTCAATGAAATGCAACATGTCTGGTTCTCTGGGCCGGTGAGGTAAATAAAGTACATTATGAAAGTGTTGCTTAAGCTAAGCTAGTTAACAATAGCATCAGACAGAGAGGTGTTGGTACCGTTTGAACTCCAGACAGATCCTTCCTCAGTCCGGTCAGCGTCTGGTACAGAACCTGACAAACACACGTTGTTTACATGTAACACAGGTAATCCAGGTAAAGGTGACCCAAATCAAACAGGTAACGGTTACCCAGGTAACACACATAAGAGCTGAAGATCTGGTGACTGTACATTCACATTGTATGTAGTCTGATCACAATGCCGTTCTTAAAGTAAATTCTAGCAGCTTTAATTAAATAAAACCCACCACAGAATTGTTGTTAATGAAAGAGCGGATTGTAAATCTTTTACATTGTTCATTCTGACACGTGACGTGAAACTCTTTCATCCTGATAGAGGTCATTATCTCTGTTGATCTCAGAGGTTCCGTAGCTATGCCAACGTGAGGGTCATCTGAGGTCTCGTTTCCCTTACGTTGTCATTGTGTCCACAGACGGCCGACTCCTCCTCCTTTGTCCTCATCAGGTCTACGTCTCGTTCGTAGTGGCTCACCTCCGTCAGCGTGCGGGGTATGTAGGCCTTCTTAAACACCTGGGAGGGGGGGGTGGAGGTCAGAGGGGGCAACTATGGTAACCAGCAGGACGTTAGTGTGTCGTATCACCTCCTCGTCCACTCCGTCCTGATCCGAACGCTCCTCTGAGGTCCGCTCGGTGGCGATCGCCATCGCCTGCACAACAAAGATAAAACGGGTTTCTCTCTCGCTTTGGTTCCCCGTGGACGGATTTATGATCGTGGTGTTGGAACCTTCTCCAGGTATTGGTCGATGTTGTGGCAAGTGATGGAGGGGTCGGTGATGAAGTCAAACAGCTCTCTGACCGTCATCACGGCGACGCCACGCCGCACAAAGAACTCTGGGACAGAAATGCTACACATTACCAGAGCGCAGACACACAGGACAGGACTTTATATTAGTGACCCCAGAATGTATCTACACAGAGCTGCATGTGTTTAAGCCGCATGCAGTGTTCAGTTCTTCAGCTAAACCTCTGTACTTAGATGCGCCCTCTAATGTCACTGGTTCCAACCAAAGATGATCAATGTCCTCCTGCACGTGTACACACACTACGATTGTAGTTGGTCTAAGGAGTAGTAAACAAAGCGTAGAATACCATTGACATTACTGCAGTCCTTCCTGAGGAACTCCAGAGCATGAGGATGATCGTGCTCCACCGACTGGGACACGTCAATGATGTAAGCGCCTCCATTGTGGTATCTACAGACAGGTTAGTGAGTTTTACAGGCTTTTATTTTGAAGAGGTTGTGTGTGTGAGTCATGGCTCTTACAGCATGTTGAACTCGCTGAGGTCAGCGTGGACGAGTCGAGCCTCCTGGAACATCTTTCTCATGTTCTGCAGAACCTCCAGGTAGAGCTCACGGGCCTTTGACTCCGATAGAGCTGCGTTCTTCAACAGAGGAGCCGGCCTGACCAATCGGACAGGAGTGACCGATAAATGACAAAGTTCATAAGGAGTCCTTACCGCCTCTCTACGGGTCCGATCGGTTCTCACAGGTTGTCTTTTCCGATGAAGCTCATCAGCAGAACGTGACTTCTGAGCAGCTTTGGTTCTGGACTCGGGATTCCTGCCGTCTGCAGCCTGATACACACACACACACACACACACACACACACACACACACACACACACACACACACACACACACACACACACACACACACACACACGCAACGGTTCTACTTCATCAAGTTCTTTTGGGTTACATCAGGTTCTACTGGGTTTTACCAGATTACTGTATCAGGTTATATTAGCTGGGTGGATCAGGTTCTATTGCGTTATATCTATAAGGAAGGGGAATTAGCCAACAATCGTCTTTCAGAGATTAAACATATCTGGGACCCTGGTTCTGGCCTTCAAAATAATTATTAGAGTGTTTTTACTACTTTCTCTTACCAAAGTTACTTAGTAGTTAGCCATGTACATGTTATTTATTATATATATATATATATATATATATATATATATATATATATATATATCCATGGAATCTGACACTGCAGATGCTTTGAGATGTATGAATTAACATCACGTTTTGGTGGAAATCACCATATAAAAAAAAAAGAGCGGAAAGCGCGTCGCGCCCCTCCGGTCCGGTAGGGCAATGCAAGCTTTCACAACCGATTTAAGACCCAGAAACATGAGCTGGCTGGATTAGATCAGCTGGTCAGAGCAGGTTTTACAGGTTCTTTCGGTTGGTTGGATCACATTGAATCAAGTTCTACTGGGTTCTATCAGCTGGTTGGATTAACTTGCATCAGGTTCTACTGGGTCCTCTCTGGTTGCCTGATCAAGTTTATCTGGACTCTATTGGCTGGTCGGATCAAAATGTGTCATGTTCTAGTAAATTCCAGCTGCTGATCCGAGGTCCTCTGATCATAAGGTTGTACTGGGTTCTATGTGTCAATAGAACGGTTCTTACCTGATGAGGTTCCTCATCTCCTTCTCTGCCCAGGTTCTCACCATCTTCCTGGGGTTTCCTTTACAGTAACCGTGACGGAACCTGCAGAACAGAAGAGCAAATAAACTGCTGATTGAACAGTAATTGACAGATATGAGGCCCCTCCCACCCGTCTGTACTGAGGGTGCGTCTGCTCGTTGAATGGTGAGCTATGCCCATTGGTTGGCCCATGTCAGCTGGGCGGAGCTCTAGCGCCCCTGCAGAGGGTGAGCAGTTGAAAGATGAAAGACGACATGGGACCCACCTGAACTCTCCACTGACGTATTTGTCTCGGTCCTTAAAGAGCAGGATGGAGGTCTTGTAGATCTTAATCGCTCGGCTTTCTCCAGCAGAGGTGCTGGCGTGATAAACATTCGCCTGGAGCCCCAAAACACACATCCTGGTTATACAATGTCTCCTTATTGGGGCTGTCAAAGTTAATGCGTTAATCTATGAGATTATTGTGGCGAGAATAATTCACTATAATATTTGAACGCAGTTTTGTTTCCTTGTGGTGTGCATAGACTCTGAAGCGCCGCGTGCTGCAGTCGGCCCCATGCAGAGACGTCCACGAAGAAGCTTTTTGCAGAGGAATTCCTCCAGAAGAGGGACGAGTGGCAAACGGACCTCTTTAGGACCAATAGGCTAAACCGGCTGCTAGGCTACTTCCATCTCAACATGTCCCTGCAGAGGACCACTGTGTCCCTAAAAGACTGGTTTGAAAACGTCCTGCTAAATGTGGGACCTTCTAAAGTGATTACTCGTTAGTTTTTCTCCTAAAAATACATCTTATAAAACTAATAGCAATAATCTAGATTAATCAATTTGTTTTAAACCATTGACATATTAGGGCTAAAAAAAGAATGAATCACGCCTTCTGATATACAAGTCAGACTGTTCATCATCTGCTTGTATCATCCATGTGATCCCTGAACTGATCATTATAAATTAGGGCTCGGTGATTTCTTACCTCCTTCCCTGTACTAATGCAGCCATTGATTTCACAGATGACTCCTCGACTCAACATCTTAAAGAGAATCATTCGAGTTCGAGGATCTAAAACCTGCAGAAGAAGAGGAAGACCATCAATAAGCTGATTACAAAAACAAGGGAGAGATATCATAGTTGAAGTTCTTGCCGCATTGGGAAACTGCTCTTCTACCCACACTCATTGTGTTCAGAAAAACAACTTCTTGTCGATTGACAAATTGTTCGCGTTGCTCAAAAGGCACGTGGACGTAACTGGGCGGGATCTGTGTTCATAAGGCAACCGGCTCCACCGCTGAAAGTCAAAAGCTGTTCACCTTCCTCTGTGTTCGATTCATTGTCAATAAACTACCAGAGAGATCAATGGATAATCTGCAGGCTAAACCATTGATCCATTTTCAAAAATAGAAGCATTTGCATGATGAGAAGCAGCTCACCTGTTCCACTGTGGCTCGGTCAGATTTGTCCTTCACTCGGTACCTGCAGACAGTAGCCAATCAGATAACAAATGACACTTATGTGACAGAACAGAGCTGATGTCAAACGTACGTGTCGGCTTCCTTCTGTTTCTGCATCGTCGTCACTTTATTGATCACCGAATCTGCATAATTCAGTTTGTCTGAAACAAGAAAAATCATTAGAATGAAGAACGAAATCAATACAATTGATTAGTGATGTTTACATCTTTCTTACGTGTTAACATGTTTCAGGGTGTACATACATACGTATACACATACATACTATTGATTAGGGGTGATGGAGTGTGTGCGTTGTTACCCAGGTTGATCTTGTGTTCATATTTCCTCAGAGCTTTGTCAGACGGAGTCGACTGCAGCGTCTTATTGGATGGATTCTGTCTGTTGGACTGACCAATAGAAACAAACAAATCAATCAATAATCACCTGACTGAACATTCAGAGTCAAGAACAATCAGATTCATCAGAAGTGTCTGACCTGACAGCTGACTGTTGTCCTGTTGTATCTTTTGGTGAGATCTCCTCCTGCTGAACCCCACACCCACTCCTCCTCTTCATCATCATAGTCATCCTCATAGTCATCTTCCTCCTCCTCCGGTGGGTCTGATGAAGGCTGCATAGTGACATCACTAATGTGATGCCTTGCAGCAAACAGCTCTGATTGGTTGCTGGAAAGAGAAAACATGAGGTCACAAACATCAGCTGTTAATTCTTCACGATTTGATTAAACACCAAACTTACATTTGGAATCCTAGCGGGAAACAGAACATGAAAAACTACGTATTGGGGTCAGGGAACAAACGTTACTGGTACTTTCATAAGAGGAGTCAGAAACACACAAGGAGAACGAAGAGAGCAACAACAGATGTAAGAAGAAGACGGAGAAGAAGAAGGAGAGGAAGAAGGAGAGGAAGGAGAAAAAGGAGAAGAAGGCGATCAGCTCTTTTTTTTAACTCTAAAATCAAACTCTCGGTCTCACCTGTCCTCCTCTACGTCATCAAACTGACCAGGTACACAGCTGACCGCCGACATGACGCCACACAGCAGAAGAGACTCTGGACCTCGAGCAGCTCCTCACACGGCGGCGTGCTTGTCCACTTCCGGGTTTGAGCACGTGACTACGGCAGGAGACGAGGGTGTTTCAGCGAACTGCATCAGAGGGCCGTGGGGGGCGGAAACCCCCGACACGAAGTGCGTTGTAGCGTGTTAGCTCTCTGGTTACTGCTCGTGGGGGGACTTGATGGGTTATGAAGACCTAGTTAACTTCTTTGTAGGATGTTCGGGGATCTGGAGCGGAACCCCCGGAGTCTGCTGGTCTGTGATCGGTCCAGTTTCCTGGATGACAAGAACCGACTGAGCTCTCAGGTGGAGCAGCTGCACTTCAACTACAAGGTAACGACGTTAGCATTTTAGCTAGGTCAGCATTGAGCATGCTAACAGTTGACACGTGTAGGGCATGGACTTTCAAAGTAAAAGCATTTCAAAACAAAAGGCCCGTAAACATCCATGTAACAATTGTATTTTGTGTAACACCAAATCACACATTAGCCTGAGCGGGCTATACAGTCTGTACGTATTGTACACGTGCGACATCCTCTGTCCCGAAACCCGCATCTGCACAGCGAAAAACTCAAAAAACAAGGACTAGACTGGGGACTTTAGATAGATAGATAGATTGATACTTTATTGATCCCTCAAGAGGGACATTTTGGTATCACAGCAGCACGTACAGGGAAGAAAATAGAATAAAAAGATACACATTATATACAATATAATAAGATAGAAATATTAAATTAAATTAAATAAACTAAAACTGAAACAAAAGAATAACCTTCCAAAAGAGACAATAATAATAATTAGTAAAAGGAGAAGAGGAAGAGCAGCAGCATCACAGCAGTACAGGGTTATTATTGTCATTATTTAGCCTGGGATGATTTATTGTAGAGTGTTGTTGCACCGGGCAGGAATGACCTCCTGTATCGGTCCTTGTGACAGCGGAGCTGTAGGAGTCTGATGGAGGACGTGCTCCGCTGTCCCTGTAGCAGGTGGTCAGGATGATCCAATATGGATAACAGTTTCTTCAGTGACCTCCCCTCCAACGCCTTTTCCAAGCTCTCCTGTTTGCAGCCAATGATGGAGCCGGCCTTCTTAACACGTTTGTTAAGTCTGTTGGTGTCTCAAATTACTCAAAGCGATATGACAAAGTTTATTTGCAACAAGAGAATTCTGTCCTGCAGTGTAACGTGCCCGGACCTTTTTCAGGCAGTTTAACAACAACATGAAAGAAGGCGCTAAATACAAAATGCGCTTGTATTATATCGTCTCTAAGAGCATTTTTGATTGGCTATTAAGAGCTTAGAACCCTCGGAGAGCCCATTGGAGCACAGCGACGTCAACACGCCTCCGTTGGTCGTGAGTTCTTCATATCAGGATGTTTGCAAGATGTGTGCAAGATAATAATAATAATAAAAATGTTGTGCATATTAGTGCTAAGCGTAGTTCTATGTATGAACATGTTATTCTTAAAATGGGGAGCAGGTGGTTCCTGTTGAACTGCATCTTTTTGCAGCATGTTTGTGTGCTGGTGTGACTTGAAATACACGTTGTTCGTGCAAACCGGCCTTTAAGCGCCGTCACCCATTATTACTGTGCATTTATACTTCTAGTGTAATTTCATTCTAGCGTAAGCGTGCATGTTCATATTTTAATACTCATCACCCACCTTCAGATAGAATCAATGAGTAGTAGAGAAGTAGATGCGATGCATTTGTATATTCTGAAATTTCTAACATGTAGCTAATTGTTTAAGGTTTTATGGAGCCGTACTGGGCTAGCAGGTTTGCACTGTTTGGGTAGTTAGCTTACTGCTAACGTTAGCTAACAACACCTTCTGGATAGCTAACTTACTTATAACATTACTTACTGTCTGGATGGTGAAAAAACTTAGAAAATGACACCAAAAAGAAGAGATTTCCTATCTACAAAGCACAAAAGGATCAACAATATCTGTAGATTATTCTGCTGAATGTTTATGTTGGCGTTCTGTGTGCACGCTGCGGGACACGCGTGCGTTGTGAAGTTTGGTCCCTCCGAGCTGCAAGTTACAAGTTTGTGAAATAAACACACAGATGGACTCAAAGGACTCCTCACTCATTTCAACAATATCTGAGACCAAACGAAATACCAATATGAGGCTTTTTTAATTTACTGGCGTATTTAGTAGCTCAGTTTCTGACGGCGCCACTTCAGCCAATCAAATGACAGCACGCGTTGGAAAACTATCCTTTACTCTCCCATAATATAGATAATAATACGAGTGAGCTTGCAAATATATTATTACAGTTAGAACCTCCATCCACAAAGACTCCAAGGAAGAGCAAAGTCGCTAATGTTGTTTTATGCTGACGGTGTCAGTAATGGGATATTTCTAATAATGATGATAGCAGCAGGAGGCAGGAACTAGGGTTGTCCCAATACCAAAATTATGACTTCGATACTATACCTGCCAAAATATTACGGTACCCGATACTTACGATATGATACCACAAATAGGATAATGGAATACATTTATCTATGATAGTAATAAATAAAACATCTGTAAGGTTCCTTTTTTACCTGGTATCTGTTTGACTGTCTGTGGGATGAACAATGCTTTATTTACTTGCAAAGTTTGATATTCTCACATTCATATTTCCTTAACTAAAAAGGATTAGGTGAAGATCCACCCTCAGGCTCCACCAGCATGTAGCCTATTGCATCAAGTGTGTATTATTTGGTACAGTTTTGTGTGCATTCTGATGATCCTATCGGCCCACATGAGTGAAGATGTAGGTTATCTTGCATGTATATATTTCTGCTGGACTAATCAGGAACTTATTTGGGGTCTTGCTTTGTCTTGTGCTGCTTGATGTTTGACTGTTAGGAAAGTTGTTGTCTAGCTAGCCAACAAAGCTACAGGGCTGCCAACTCTCACGGTTTCCCCGTGTGACACGCGTGTTTCCATGTTTTCACACGCACTCACGGCACACATCCAATTTATTACGCTAAAAAAATCAGCGCTGGTTCACCTAAACGGCGCATCTATAACCCGATTAGCGTAACTTACACCCCCCGTCAGCCGTAGCTTCACCCCCAACGTCTCACTCCAAGGTTTAGTAAAAAATGTCCCTTTAACATTACAAAGAAGCCGACTCGAGAGCACTTAATACTAGCATCAATATGCTAGCGTTTTATAACAAGCTTGCTAACATTGCTAACGAGATGTCTGCTAGCGGCTAAACTTACTTTGTTTATGACAAACTAGCAAGTCAACAATTTTCCAAACACAGTCAAACATCAAGCAAGTGCAACACAAGACAAAGCGGACGTCCTCTTATACGCGGACATTTCCTCTTTTCCAGACCTAAAAAATGCGTCCGGGTAAAAGAGGACGTGTGGTCACCCGAGCTAAGCTAGGCTAAGGCTAATGGTGTTAGGCTGTATATGGGTGAGCAGTCTGCTACATGAGGCCTTTCTAGTACCGGTACACTGTGCAACACTAGCAGGAACATTACATTACATTACAGGTCATTTAGCAGACGCTTTTATCCAAAGCGACTTACATTACACTTTAAATGGCCTTTTCACATTTTGGCCCGGGGAGCAATTAGGGGTTAGGTGTCTTGCTCAGGGACACTTCGACATGGAACATGGGGCAGCCTGGACTCGAACCACCAACCTTGTGCAGCACCGAACACTCTGCACACCTTCTCTAACCCCTGCGCCACGAAAACCCCTGGAACAGGGAACGGGGTCCACATAGAACGGGGTCCACACAGAACAGGGTCCACATAGAACGGGTTGGCAAACTGTTTGACTCGCGGACCACATCGGTTTCTAAAATTTGACAGAACAACTGGATGAAGTGTTTGTGTGAACTAATATAAATGACATGTACATATAATACTTGAAAGGATTTGGCTTTTACCAAGTAGCAAAGCATTTATTTGCAAGGCAATTTAACAAAATTCATGAACATAATAAAAACATGTTGTGATGTGCCTGATCGAACATCTCACTTCTACTTTTTTATTATGAACATTAACCGGTTCGAGCAGCCACGCAGAGATTGGCTCCAACGTCACTCATCACTTTCACTTTCAGTGGGAACAATGTTGTTGTTGATCTCCCATTTTTGAATTCAAGTCTGGAGTTATTTTGGTTGTGGCCCTTCTCAGGATAGATCTGAGGTTCTGATCCGTGACGGGCTTTGTTGGGGTTCATGACGCTGAATGTCTGCTCGCACACATAAGTTGAGCCAAACAAAGGCAGCATCTTCTGCGCAGTCCTCCGCGGGTTTGGAAACGTGGTTGTTAAGTGAAGCATTAAAGTCATTCAGTTGAACGAAGCCGGACTGAAGATCTATCAATTCGTGTGGTGCTGTTTCAGCGTCCAGCTGAAGTGACTGTTCAATGTTTTCGAAATCAGGGAACCTACGGCAGAAGGTCCGTGCAGGTCCAAGTGATTTGCTGCAGCTTTCACATGTTTGTACATCCGGCTTATTCATGTGTGAAAATATGTCCACAGCAAACGCAAAGTCACTGAGCCACTTCTGGTTGCTTAGCTCAGGGAATTTTCCCATCAAATCCAAAATGCGATGATGTCCTCTTTCAGCTCCCACACTCGTAACACTTTCCCCAAACTTCACCAGCGGACACGAGCGTGGTACAGCGAGTCCTGGTCATCCGCATCACTTTCCTCCAGGGACGTAATAAAGTCTCTTTGCTCTTATGAAGTTCAGAGGTTTTACAACTGTATTTAAACAGCTGAAATACAGACTTACACACGGATTCCTGATGGATGTCGCAGTGAAGGAAATGAGATCCTGGTCAAGGTTTTTCCTCTTTCACTTTATTCTGGATTCTTTTCAGCAGCCCAACATTTTTCCAGTTAAATTTGGCGATCCATCCGTTGTGACATTGACAAGTTTACTTCACGGTAGCTTCATTCTTTCGACAGCAGACGCCGGCTTATATAAGTCGTCTCCCGCGTTGTTTCTTTCAGGGACTCCTGGTCAAAAACTCCCGTCATTGCCTCGGAGCTGAGCAGTGTCTTTTACGTCCATACTTTCATCCAGTGTTCGTGAATAGAACAACTTTTTGTGTAATGGCTACATTTTCATCAATTCGTCGTGATAAACAGACTTTTGTTCTCCGGACACAAGATGTCGGCTGTCTGTAACATACACACTTTGACAAACTCCTTCGCAGAAAGGCTTGCTAGGCTTTGCTATTCCGAATGCCACCAAAAAACTTGACTCTCGAATCAGTTTGTTGGTGGAAAAAATGTGTCTTGAGTCTGTAAATTAGCCGCTGAGCCGCTGATGTTTTAGAAGTATCGCTTTAGCATCGGGGAACAAACGATACTCTTCCATGCTCGATAATTGTACGCATTAAAAAAAAAACTTTCTTGGGGCCTAATTGAATGGTGGGGGAAACACTGTATGCTTTAGAATTCTTATTGTTAGTTTAAATACTACATTTTCTCCCTTTTCATGTATACACCGACATTTCACAACATTTTTGGTCATGGAAATCCATTGGTCAAAATGTGTACGAACCCTGACTTATTGTTTGGACTCGCTGGATAAAAGCGTCAGCTAAATGACATGTGATGTAATGTGTATAAACGCACTATATTACAGTTGGAGAGGAGAACTATCTGTATATTTGTTAAAGATGAAGCCATGAAATGAAAATATGTAAACAACACAAGTGGAATTGGTGTCAGTTCTGTAATGAGCCCCATTCCTTTACCTGTACAGGTGTCCATGCTGCTACCTGAGTGTAGCTCCACCCCCTCCCACCTGGAAGCTGTTCTTAACAGTATTGACAGTTTCTACCTTATCAGGAATCTGCCGATACACGAGCTGCTGGACAAACACTTCCTGGAGACCGCTGTGCACCATGGTAACACACACACACACACACACACACACACACACACGGCCTATTATGTACCTTTCCATTGTACGAACATCACCATGAATTCACTTGGTGAACGAACCAGGGGCCTCATTTATAAAAACGTGCGTAGGATTTGCTCCAGAAGTGTCGTACGGATGAAACGTAGGACGCACAGAAATATTCAGACTTATAAAACGTCCTACGCAGTTTTCCCTTAATAAATCACAATCACGTCTAAATGCAGCGCAGCTTTTGCGGCTTCATGTCACGCCCATAGTTGCCCTTATATAGTCTGTGGAACGCCCACAAATGAATATTCATCGATTACGAAATCATGACAAACACTGAGAGGAAAACGAAGAAACGTAACTTGACTCAGTGTGAAGTTAAATGATCATTGGGAGGTGGAAGGAGACGTAAGACGCTCTTTGGAGGACACAGTGTGGATCACTGATGCCAACAAGGCACCTGAGGGGCAAAAGGCTGCAGAGCAACGTTGCAGCCTCACGACCTCGGACCCAAATAAAGAAAAACTGGTCTGACATCAAAGTGGATGCAAAGAAGCGTTTAGCACCATCGCCAACGTGTGTCTGTCCCGGGGGGGGGGACACCGGAGCTGTCCCCTCCTGATGAGAGACTGGCGGCAGTGATCGGGGACAGGGTCTGGGCCAACATCGGCGTCAGGGGGTCGAGGCGCGTTTGGAAGCTGAGCCACATCATGTAGCACAGCACATGCAGCACGATGTTGCACACCTTCTCAGGAGTAAACAACAACCTCCTCCAGCGCCGTCTGCCCTTAAACAGGCCGACGGTGCGCTGCACTACAGCGCCAATCCTTCCATGTGCCACGTCTCCTAAGAGTGCGAGATCAGCCATCAGCGTCATTACGCATTGTGACGACATCATGGCGTTTTATTACCGTCCGTCTGATTCCTTCTGACAAGCAACAGCTGTGTTTAGAGGATGAATTTAATAACATGCCGATATTATTGCAGAACATATTTCACTTTTCTTTGTGATAATTTGTATTTGTTTGTTTTACGCTGCAGATCAGACGGGTGTTCGTGTTATTTATGAGGCAGTATTGGCATTTCTTTTACAACAGTCTAGTTTTACACACTTTCACACACGTTTGTGTTTCTTGCATTTGCCGACGGTTCTCATTTTACCCGTTTTTGTGCGTACGTGTGGGTCCGAGCTTGCGTGAAGGACCGCACATTTTTCCGTCAAGTTTTCTTTTTATAAATACCAATTATTGAGCGGCGTACGCCTTCTTTTGTGCCTACGCAACGTTTATAACTGAGGCCCCTGGAGGTGTTGTGTGTTATTTTGCAGTGCCAGTAGTTTGCTGCTGTTCCTTGGTACTCATGGTAGCGTTGCCTTGAAGTGTCTGAAGTAGTCATGGTAACGGTTTCTGTGTTGCAGGAGGTGTATCCGGTTTGTCCTACCGGACCAGGATCGATGAAGACAACTGTGTCGCCCTGCTGCCAAGCGGTAAAGCCTCATGTCGTGTACAAGTGTCTTATCCTGGCCAGCTGACCATCCCGTCTCTCCCTCTGGCTGTCTGCAGGTCGCCTGTCTCTCTCTCTGGATAAAGACTCCTTTGAGTTGTTGGGAGTTGAAGGGAAACCGTCCAGATTTAACCACCGAACAAACAGCAGATTTGGTTTGTTCATTATTAAATTGAGCTCATTGGCCAGATCCCAACATAACAAACAAAAGTCATGTGACACAAACATGTACTTACAAAGATAAATACTCTTAAGTAATATTTTTTATCTTCTCAATGATATGTTACAGTTGTGTCAGTCGATTTGACTGACAGCAGCATGGCTCCTGGTGGGCGGGGCTACCAGAGATTCGTGACAGGTCTGAGGTCACGCCTCAAACTGAAGACGGACTTCCTGCTGTCACATCCAGGTGAGATCCACCTGCATGTTCTCATTCATCACATGGACATGAAAAGGGACATGTCCTTCATTAAGGCAGATTACCACCCATAATCCTCTGCTTTCTGTCCTATAGGGGGTGGAGCCTCACTGCAGGCCCTCCTCTCTCGCTATGATTGGTCAGAGCACAGACCTGAGATCCAAAGCCACACCCTGATAGACTTTACCTGTCCCTTGCTAACCTCTGACCTGCAGTCATGTGACCCCCACTGCCTTTTGGAGTGGCTCGGGGCTGTGGATGCCCACGTCAGCTGGTGAGGCGGTGGACACAATGACAACCAGCTCTGTGCACCGGTCATGTGACGTGGCCTCCTGTTGACTCTTCTTCTGTGGTTTCAGTGAGAACTTGTCCAGCAGCTTCCTGTCCTCATTTGTCTGTCCTGAGCCGAAGGCGACAACAAGTCGAGCTCTGAGCGTCTCCGTTCGCGGACTTCTGCGTCCTCAAGGCGTCCACAGACTCATCCAGCAGATCAGGTGAGCTGACCAACAAACTACGACGTATTCAAAACCGTCAACAAATAAATTTACATGATTTATGTAGTATTTCTTGTACCGCGTCTTGTACTACTCCTTATAGCAATAAGTTCTTCTAGTACCACCATCACTGCCACCACCAGATGTCATAGTACTTCTCGTTGTACTACTATTCCCTCCTCACCGGTCCTGCAGGTTGTACCTGGAGCAGCCTCAGGTGGAGTCATGGGCCTCGCTCACGGTACATGGATTTGTTGACAGTCCGGTTTCGTGGAGTGAAGAAGAACACGGTGTCCTCAGAGGTGGCGAGAACTTCTACAGCCTGCTGATGTTCCCTGACCAGACCTACCACCTCCACTTGGGGACAGGAGCCCACGACACCTGTCCTCCATGACCACACCTGTCCTCCCTGATGATGTCACCAGCAGCTTGTTTCAGTTTTAAATGAATCTGTGACATCAGGTTTTGTTGTAGAAACCAGTTTCAGATCTGTATTTTGATTTGAAGCATACTAAAATAAAGAAAACCATTTTAGTTGAAACAGTAAATATTTCAGACTGAGACTGATTCTTTTTAGGCCCCTGGGGCCAGAATCATAAGGACTGATTTGAAGGTGTAAACCCCCCTCCCCCGTTTTTCTATCTCATTTGTCCTAAAATAAATGGATTTCTCAGCATATTTGAAATTGGTTAATACTAATTTGCTTATGACATTTTGATGTGCTTCTGATGACATCACTGCTTGGAAATAAAGTTTCTATCTTTCGAATTTACAAAGTAGACAAACACTTTAATTCATTTGAAATGAAATAAAAGATTTACTGATTGCGTTTAATTGATTAATAACCTGATGAGATTCTGATGCACAAGCCACACCCATGAAAGCTGTCCATCAGCGCTCCCTACAGGCATCTGGGTGAAGGATGGCTTCTTTGAGTGGAGAAACCATCAAACCCGAGTCTGAAACATCTGATCCAAAAATGGAGGTCAGTGTCATTCCTCCTGCCAGAAGGTCAAAGGGCACCTCTTTTTCATACTCTGGTTCTCAGCATTGTCGGATGTTCCGGCTTCATGTCTGTAACCCTAACGCAGTTCACACGAGGGTCCGGGGCTGTTAGCTTAGCGCCAACACCGGTAGCAGGGGGAACTGCTAGCCTAGCTTAACAGAGGAACCTGGATGGAACCCCGTGGAACCTTCCAGGTGAGTAAACATCTGATTTTGAAGGAGAACATGAGGATACAGAAATGTGTCATCATTGTTCTGATAAAATTATAACTTAAATGTTTACAACAAAAAGGAGGAAACGTTTCCGTTCAGCTCAGAATCTGCTGAGTCGGAGGAGCTGATCCAGGTTCTAGCAGAACTCTGTGCTTCTCTGCAGGTACTGCAGGATGGAATCGGTTCCCTGCAGCGAGCCCCAGACCCTCTTCAGGGCTTCACACTCGCGCTCGTTCGCTTGCTCCAGGGCACTGCGGCTGGTGTTCCTCATTAAGGCTTTGGACTCGCGCAGAACCTGCCAGACAGGAAGTAGAACCACCACAGAAGAAGAAGTGATGACTGTGTGTGTGTGTGTGTGTATAAATTACAGGGTTCATACACATTTTGACCAATCGTTATTCAGGACTTTAAACCAATGTAAAAGTGAGAATAGCAAAGTAAAACATTTAACAATTATCCACTGATCTCGGCGCATAGGGGACTCACGATAGGCACAAATGGACATGCAAGCACCAGCAGACGAACCGTGCGCGTTGGAAAATGTCGGTGACAAAGAGGCGTGTAGCAGTCGCCCTCTGGTGGGGTTTCTGTTGCAGCTTCGCTAGCAGCAGTGCTCGGATATCTGCGTCCTTTAGCACGGCTCCTTAATGGCGCTCTGTTTGAAATGTCAACTGTTCCCACCACACAACCTACGTTCTGCTCGTCCCGGGTCTTTGTTTGTCGTAACCCATGACTTTGATTTAACCACCAATCTACACTTCCCGGCACAGTGGATGATTCCACCCTAAGCTACTATTTCTACAGCCTCCGAACTTTTCAGTAACAATTTTAAAATTCCTGTTTTTTCATAACCTTGCTGTAAAAACTGACCTGTGAGTCGACCGCCACCAGCTCTTTGATCCGCAGCATCACTTCCTGTGTAAAGGTCCCCGGCCACAGCACCTGAGACACCAGCCCTTTAGAACACGCCTCCAGCGCTGTCAACTTCCTGCCGCTGAGCAGCAGCTCGTTGGCCTGAAACAGAACTCTCATTAGAACCCAGCGCTGGTTAGCAGGGCGGCGAGGTGCAACTGGGACTGACCGAGGCGAGGCCCATGATGCGGGGGAACGTAAAGGAGGAGCAGGCGTCCGGCGTCTGGCCGTAGGAGGCGTACGGCGTCTGGAACCAGGCCTTCTCATTGGCCCACACCACGTCGCAGAGAGGCAGGATGGCGGCACCCAGGCCGTGGGCAGGCCCATTGACTGCCGCCACTATCGGCTTTCTGAACTGGATGAAGGTGTTGACGAAGGTCCTAAGGAAGAGGAGTCAGAAGTCAACACTTTCATGATGACATCAGACAGCGTCCATGGAAATCTTGCTTTACCTGATGGTTTCAGCCATCTTGATGCTCTCCTTCTTCCTGTCCTCCGTCAGCCGCCTGATGAAGTACAGGAAGTCCAGGCCGCAAGAGAAGACGCTGCCAACGGCGCCAAGTAACACCAGCTTACTGTCATCTGATGCTGCCGTCGCCATAGCACTCTGGATCTCCTTCATCACCTGACAAGTATAAGAGACAAGTCAGGGTATAGGATCACGGGTGTGGTCTATAGTCTGAGGCGTGGCTTCAACTCATGTCTTTGTTTGTTAGAATGCAGTCTATATTGTGGGGACGTGTCTTCACCTCAGGGTTAAACGTGTTGTTCTCAGAGCTCTTGGTTGACAGCAGGATGTGAGTGAAGCCGTCTTGTTTCTTCACCACAATGTCCCGGTAACGGTAAGCGCTCTCCGTTTGTCGAACACTGAACCTCAGACGTTTGTCGAAAACGGAGCGTTCCTCTAGACGGCGCTTCCCCGTTGCACTGGTCGCCCCAGTAACAGCAGTGTGCCCACCTGACATCCCATTGGCAGCTACAACCTCCATCGATGTATCTGAGGTATCTGGTGGAGACAGAATGTTCCTTTAGATCCAATGGACTTAAATTGGGAAAAAGAAACTAGGGGTTTGACCTTTGACCTTACCAGTGCTGTCGAGGAAGCGCATTGCAGCGGGTGTGACGGGTACTCGGGGCGGGGGCGGGGGGTTCTGGCCACGGGGTCTGGTCCCCATGCGAGCTCTCTCCTCTCCAGGACCGAGCTGGACCCCGGCGGGTTTCTCTAGCAAGGCGACCTCGGGTGGGACCAGGTGGGCCTCCTGAGCTCCCGCCTCCAGAATGTGAGCCACCTCGCTGGTAAAGTTCTCGGAGTCCAGGCGGCTGTTCATCGGACTCTTTGGGACCAGGATCTTGATGCCGGTTTTGGAAAGGTCCACGCTGCGGCGGGGCGTGCTGGCCGGAGATGCCGACATCAGCAGACTGCCGAAGCGCTGCTGCGAGCTGGCTGAGGTCAGGTGCTTCAGTCCAGAGGGGGGCACATGACCCTGATCATATACTCTAGGTAAACCTCCGATGATGTCACTGCTGATGTTACCACGGGCTGTGGCGGAGGGCGGGGGCCTGCAGGGCAACCTGTGGGCGGGGCTAAAGCGGTGGCTGGGGAAGCTGCGAGTAGAGCGCAGTAAGGTGGTGTCCCTCTGCCACTCGGCGTACCGGCGGTTGAAGTCATGGACATAGATCATACAGGTGGAAAGGTGAGTCTCAGGCTCCCAGGTGTCTCCATCTGAGCCATAACCTCTCCACCTGACCAGGTACTCCACCTTCCCCTTCTTGTTCTTCCTCTTGTCCACGATCCGCTCCACCTGTCGGCAAAGTGACACAACCAGTTTGTCTATTATTATTATTATATTATGAGAACTCATCTGAAACAGGTTTATCTTTATATTCAAAAGACGTTTTGGACACAAAATCATATTTTCATGCAAACTCAGATTCACGAAGATCATCTTCTCCAACATCTGAACAGTCATTAGTATTTTTTGACTGATCAACTGAACTAAGTTCTACCTGAAACAGAGAAAAAGTGACATCTGAGAAACTATCGTTACCTCATGATTAATACATCTTGAAACTTTCCTTTGTCAAACTCATTGTTCAAGTGATCAATAATAATACATATTAATAACAGTTATGTCATTAAGCATAAAGTTATGAACAGTCGAAGCTCATGAACCAAAGTTAGTCGCAACACCTTCACTTTTATAAACTGTGACAGACGTCTGTTCACACTGAGCTAATACTGAGTTAGCACTGAGTTAGCACTGAGCTAGCAGTGAGCTAGCAGTGAGCTAACGTTAACTCCACAGGCTACTTACAAAAACCAACTCAGCCTGCAGCTTGTCTGAGCTTCAGACTCTGACTCACTTTACCAGGTTGAAAAGCTGATACGTTCCTGGGGTTCAGCACGTAAAGTTTAGAAAGTTTACTCGGAACTCCGAAGTAGTTACAGTTAGCACGTTAGCATTAACTTGCTTCACCTCGTAGAACTCTTCCGTAGCCATGGAGACTGTGCGCGTGCACGGGCAGCTTCTAGCAGCTTCTTCTTAACCCGAGCAACAGCATGAGAGACGGCTGAAGATCTCCGTCCGCTCTGCACCGTTAATCACAGTCAACTAGCTGCTAGCCGTTAGTACAGCAGCATGACGAGGCATCCGGTTTGACTCACTAACGTTCAGAATAAAAGTCCAACAAGCTGTTTATCACTGTCAAGTGACGTTAGTTGCCATCTGTAAGACAGCAGCATGACGGATCATCCGGGCCGACTCCCCCGCCTTCAGAATAAAAGCCCAACTAGTTTTGAGAAAGTTAATTGTTTATTATTATTTTCAATATCAAATCTATGGAGCCAAATCCAGGTCAAAAGTGTTGATCCTTCAAAAAACATAATCATGATTACACGCCCCTCTCAGTTGATGTCCCGTATGATGGTAGATTTGTGTCTTTATTATACAAACAAAAAAATGTTTTGAAAGCAAATTTCTTGCATTGCAAACAAAAAAAGTTTGTAAGTCAAAATATTTGTATAATAAAAATATTGTTTTTGCCTGTAAAACAAAACATTTTGCTCTCTAAACGTTTTTTTGTATAATAAAGACACAAATCTACCTTTATATCCCGTCCCCTACGCCAGATCAGGGTCAAAAGTCTGAATGTGAAAAAAACGATCCAAAAGTTAAGAAAAGATCTGAAAATTTGAATCTGAAAATATAAAATCTACAACTGAAAAATATAATACAGCGAATGTCCCAAAATATAATTGAGGAATAAAATTAAACTGAGTCAAAACTCTATTCAATCCGAAAATACTTTTGAATACATTTTTGTACATTGTTGTAAGACCAAAACTTCAAATTTCGGGTTCATATTTGTTTTTCACGGCACGGTGGCGCGGTGGTTAGCACTGTTGCCTCACACCAAGAAGGTCCTGGGTTCGATTCCGCCCAGTGGCCTTTCTTTGTGGAGTCTGCATGTTCTCCCCGTGTCTGCGTGGGTTCTCTCTGGGTTCTCCGGCTTCCTCCCACAGTCCAAAGACATGCTCTGGGGATCAGGTTCATTGGGGACTTTAAATTGCCCGCAGATGTGTGAATGTGAGTGTGAATGGTTGTATGTCTCTGTGTTAGTCCTGCGATTGGCTGGCGACCAATCCAGGATGAACCCTGTCAATCGCCTGAAGTTGGCTGGGATGGACTCCAGCCCCCCCGCGACCCTGTGTGCAGGATAAGCGGTTTGACAATGGATGGATGGATGGATGGATTTGTTTTTCAAACAACCTTTTTTGGACAATTGAAGTGTGGATGTTTCTATTGTATGTATAAATGAATGTAGTGCAGATGTCTTAATATTTACCAAACATCATACCATAATGGATTGTATTAACCATGGCTAATTAATCCATTGCAAACTGGGGGCTATTGCACAAAACAAGAATAAGGGATTAAGACGGGTTAGTCAAGATATCCTGAATGAATTTAGCTTTGACTTGGTTGCACGAAAGCAGGTTGAATTTAACCCAGTCCTTGCATCCCTCGAACGCATTTGGAGGAGCCGAAGGATTGGGACAGGCAAGTCGCAGCGGAAGTGACGTATGCGGTTGACGAATGCGTCCTTAAGGATGCAGCCTAGCAACTTAGAGACATGGCTAATGTGTATGTGTTTACATACTTCCTGATTGGTGGAGCCGCCCCAGCCGCAAGGCATTCATTAGAGGGTAACAGACTATAATACAGCGCAGATGAAAATGATTTAAGCTACAGCGTTTATACAATATGAAACATAGTCTACATTACATTACAGGTCATTTAGCTGACGCTTTTGTCCAAAGCGACTTACATTACAATTTTAACCGATGGCTTTTTAAATTTTTGCCCAGGGAGAAATTAGGAGTTAGGTGTCTTGCTTAGGCACACTTCGAAATGGGGAAGCTGGGACTCAAATCACCAACGTTGCAGTTCCCAGCGCACCCTTTCTACCCCGGCGCCACGATGAACCTTTTATTAAGGATTATTCCAACGACAGAATACATGGCACAGGGAATTTTGTGGTGCTATTTCCAAAATCCCAGAGCTGCGTAAACGCATTCACGTGCGTTTACCCACCACTACAACAGGGAACCCCAAAGTCTCCTGGGCCACATCTACCAGCTCTGACTGGGGGATCCAAAGGCACTCCGTGCCAAAACCTTCCTAGTGAGGCGCACAGTGAGCATCTACAAGATGCCACAACTGCCTCAACTGGTTTCTTTCCATGTAAAGGAGCGGCGGCTCTACCCCAAGCTGATCATGGATGACTGGGCTCCTCACGCTATGTCTTAGGAGAGACGCCAGCCACCCTCCTGAGGAAAACCATTTCAGCCGCCGGACAGAGATTCTGTCTCCATAGTTACCCTAAACTCCTCCCACACTCACTGCTTTGCCTCGTTCACAGCAGAGGTTCCAACCCTTTGAGCCCGTTGGTACTGTGCAACTGCCCACCGGAAATCATTACCCGGAAGACCTCCTTCTTCAGGCGGACGGCTTCCCTGACTACTAGTGTCCACCACAGTGTTCGAGGTTTACCGCTCCTTGATGCATCTGAGACATTGAGGGCACAACTCACCACCACAGCTTCAGCAATGGAAGTTTTGAACACAGACCACTCTGGTTCCGCCTCCCCACACAGGATTGCGCAAGATTTTCTTCATTTTAAATGCTCTACCTATGAACTTGACATACACAAGCTGGCTACTTACTAACCTTTCATATAGCTGCCACGAGTGATGATTAGCTCAACACAGGTTGTGATGTCATACAATCTGCAGATGGGTCCAGGTGGTTGTGAATATTTATTGGGAAACAACACATTACGTTGATATTGAAATAAGGGTTTCACCTGGACACAGAGGGGGCTGGAGGGTTTTATTTGCTCTCAATTCAAAGACCGATGAGGACAAAGTATTCTAGGTCTAAGTTTGGATTACATGAGTTGACGGTCCTACTCCTGATCCGCCTTGTCAGTCAGACTTTTTGTCCGTAAGTTTTGTTTGCCGCTGTAGAGGTGAAACCAACAGGCCACCACTGTCATTGTCGTCATCGTCCGCCAAGGTGGGTCGGTTCTTAAAGCAGACATAGAAGACGACGGCGATAATGGCAAGAAGGAAGCTGACCAAGAAGCATCCGAACAGCGGAGCCTGGCTGATGATGGACTGAAAGGACAGAGACACAGATGATGGAGAGGTAAGAGGCGCCTGAGACAGACAAGGGCTGCTTGAGACAGGTAAACAGAGGACAGACAGGTAAGAGGTACCCGAGACAGGTTAACAGAGGACGGACAGATACGAGGTACCTGAGACAGGTTAACAGAGGACGGACAAGAGTTCTGAGACAGTTAAACAGATGTGATGATCACAGAATTTACCGTTAGTGAGACTTTGATTTCATAAATGAAACGTCTGACCCGCTGATAGATGCTGTTTCCTCCCTGAAACTAAGAGGTCAGACAAAGAATCAGATTTCAGAAAAAGTCAAACATGACTTAAATCTTCTCCTTTGTCCTCCAGGGAAGCACTACAGACTCACCTGGATGCTGCCGTCCAGGACCCCGTTCAGGAAGTCAAGCAGGTGGCGCTCCGTCTTTACAGCGGCCGGAGGAAGGAAGTAGCCATCGCTGGAGAGATCAACGACTATGAAGGAGGGAACTCCCACCTCCCTGACAACAACAAACAATACAGCTCATCCAGAGTGAGCTTAATTAGAGGAAGTACTTGACTACTGATGTAAAGGACTACATACCTTAAGGACTACAAATCTTTAGGATGATATACTTAAACGACTACAAATATTAAGGACAACATAAAGGGTACCTTGGCACCCATGCCGGTAGAATTTAGCTGTGGCGGGTAAAGTGGTCACTCTTACTAGCCACTTTGGCGGGTGCAATTCTATATATCTCTCTATTTGTATTGTAGTGTCTCATGTTTAGTGTTTTGAGTTCTAAATAGTATGGCCCTTCAATGTTGCCATAGAGGCAAAAGGGGTTCCCACGCTGGTGGTTGAGGGGTGAAGGTTGACAAAAATAAAGAAGAGACGTGCGCTGAACAATGTGTCTGGTCCCCCGACCAGTCACTGTGTCACGGGTGCAGCATCCACAAACCCAGAATGCTCGGTTGCATTGGTGGCAGCGGTGGTTTTTGTGCACTGACTATGCCGCGACGACTTAGCCTCCACTTCCTTATTTTAGCTTAGCTGTCTCAGTTCATCTAGCAGGCCAAATTCCGCTGCAATCAAGCGCCACCTGTTCAAGATGTGCTTGGAGATGAAGGTCCGTTTAACCGCTCGGGGCTGTTCGGCAGACGGTCGGCAAGCAGAGATGTCCCCGTGATGTAATGTAATGTCTATGCGGACGTGCCTGCTCTGTTTTCCGGCGACGGTAGCCAGAGTTTCCTCGGCTGGATGAGACCATCCGTTACAGTAGTCTTCTCAAAGCACATCTAAAATAACATTGCATTGTTCTCAAGCCTCAAGCATTACCGTGAGACACACAAATTTCCAAATTACCAGTTCAGACACAAGACACCATGCGTGTAACGCCGAGACCTTCTGGGTAGTAGTGGTCACCATCTGTTTTCTATTGTGTTTTCTGTCATACACCACCCTCCTCTGTGATTGCAAGCCCCGCCGTTATTGTTTCCACCTGTGTCTCGTTTCCCTGTGTATTTAGTCATACATACATACATATGATAAAGTACATACATATATCCTCATAACTATTCACTATTACTACTATTACTACTACTATTCAAGTATCAATTAGACTATTTGGGCTTGTTTTTATCTACATATTCTGAAATAATCTCAAATTCCTTGTATGTTTGGCATATTTTGGTAATAAATGTCCTGAATAGTTGAGATGGGATAAAGATGCATCCATGAAGCCTCCTGCCAGCAGGCACCTTTAAAGAAATATAATCTGATTGATCAATTGATTGATTAGAGTGATGAGGAACATTACATTACATGTCATTTAGAGTGCGGGTCGGGATGTCGGGTTTGACCAGGTCCTGGATGTAAGCTGGACCCCATCCATTCACAGCATGGTACGTGAGTATTAATGTTTTGAACTGGATGCGGGCAGCCACCGGTACCAGTGAAGAGAGCGGAGGAGTGGAGGAGTGTGGGAGAACTTAGGAAGGTTGAAGACCCGTGGAGCTGCTGCATTTTGGATGAGCTGCAGAGGTCGAATGGCGGTAGCAGGGAGACCAGCCAGGAGGGAATTGCAGTAGTCCAGGAGGGAGACGACAAGAGCCTGAATCAGTACCTGCGCTGCCTTCTGAGTGAGAAGAGGACGTGTTCTCCTGATGTTGTAGAGCGAGTATCTACAGGATCGTGTTGTTGCAGTGACGTTGGGAGTCAGGGAGAGTTGGCTGTCGAGTGTGACGCCGAGGTTCCTAGCGGTCAAAGTGGGCGTTAGTACAGAGTTGCCAAAGTTGACCGTCAAGTCCTGGGTCAGAGAATCTTTTCCCGGAAAGAGAAGTAGTTCAGTCTTGTCAGGGTTGATTTTCAGATGGTGGGGGGATCCACTGAGAGATGTCAGTCAGACAGGCAGAGATCCGAGTGAGGGAAGGAGAGAATTAGTTGGGTGTCATCAGCATAGCTGTGGTAGGAGAAGCCATGCGAGCGAATGACAGCGCCGAGAGAGTTGGTGTAGAGCGAGAAGAGGAGGGGACCCAGGACGGAACCCTGAGGAACTCCAGTAGTAAGAGGACAAGGTTCCGACACAGATCCTCGCCAGGTTACCCGGTAGGTGCGGCCGTCGAGGTAGGACGAGAGAAGGGAGAGAGCAGATCCTGAGACACCGAGTTCCTGCAGGGAGGAAATAAGGATCTGGTGGTTGACTGTGTCATATGCAGCCGAGCGGTCCATAAGAATGATGACTGAGGCCAGAGAGGCGGCTCTAGCACTGTGGAGTTGCTCTGAGACAGCAAGGAGAGCAGTCTCTGTGGAACGGCCTTGAAGCCTGACTGGTGGGGGTCCAGGAGGTTGTTATGGTGGAGATAGGAGGAGAGTTGGTTAAAGATCACACGTTCAAGAGATTTGGACAAAAAGGGAAGAAGAGAGACCGTCTGTAGTTGTTTTCTTCAGAAGGGTTGAGGGTAGGTTTCTTCAGCACGGGGTTAACTCTTGCCTTCTTCAGAGAATTGGGAAAACAGCCAGATAACAGAGCGTTGTTGATGAGACAGGTTGTGAAGATGTGATGGAATGGGGTCAAGAGGGCAGGTGGTCCGACTGGCAGAGGTTACTAGGGTAAGAATTTGGTTAGGAGACAAGGGGGTGAAAGAGGAAAGTGAGGGCGATAGAGGTGAAGTTAGTGAGACGCAAGAAGTAGGAGGTGTGTTTGAGAAAGAGGAGCGTAGGGAACCTTTCTGTTGTGTTAAAGACTAAAGTGTTTTCTCGAACACGGCACGTCCTTTTCTGGACAATCCTGTTGATAACGAAGAATTACTTTGCAGGGTGTTAAACACGTCGGGAGAGAATATTGAGGCCCAGATTAGATAAATTGTCATTTCCACATGACTACTTGTTTGAACGGTATCGTTTTTTTCACAGTCCATCAAATTTGTACATAATCTCACCCGTCGTCATATAACTAAGTACTAAGTATTACGTTACAACATTAGAATATTAGTAAAGCTGCTGTATACAGAGCCTTGAGAAACGTGGGCCTCGCTCTGAAATGTTTTTGTTCCCTGAACACAAACCTAAAATATGAGCATGGGTGTGTATTTCAAAATGTGTGTAGTGCATTCTAACAAACAGTGTAAAAACTGTGAATTAGTACAACGTATGGATTATGATTAGTGTTGTGTAACACTATATTGGAACTTACCTGTTGACCCGAGCAGCAATTTTCTCCTAACCCGTTTCTCTGTCTTTTTCTGCAGTAAAAGTGCTGCAGTGTTTTTTCCTAATTACGGGTTCATACTCGCCGTACGCTTGCATTAATATTTTAGCTCAATAGCGGTGACGTATCGTTTGTGGTGGTTGTCATGGTAACTCGTGGTATCGTGGCTCCATTCATGCTGCCTTGATACTGTGATGGTGCACGCACTCAACTCTGAGTCAACCTACTCTGAGTTGATTGAACCAACTCTAAACAGCTGTTCTGAAACCCAAAACTCACAGTTTCCATCTCAGGGCAAATCAACTCAGAGTTTAGGGTTTGACTCAGAGTTTGTTAAACTTCCTACTTGAAACGGACTCCAGGTCCTTCTGGCTCCCCCTTCCTAACAGCGAGAAGGCAACGTCAACCAAGTTATCCTGCTAACGCTGTATTGTGCGCGTATAGTTTTCGCCTGTGTTCAATCGTCTCGGCCACCGTACATTTGTTTCTAACATTGACGTGCGAATACACGTGACCGGTGAATGCTTTTGGTAAAACTTGAGTAGACCTGCTCAGTGCAGGGCAAGGATGTTGCGACGCAGGTGTAGGAAAACCCGGGGGGCAGAAACAAAAGGGAAAAACGAGTGATGAAACCAAAAATGAAGAGGGGACAAAGAAAAATGAAAACGCTGCTTAACAAAAAGTGGAGGGTCAGAATGGCTGGTTCATGATCCAGCTAAGAAAAAAATGTATTGCCCTGATTATAGGATGTACGGCAGTGAAAAGGTTAAGGGAAGAGCTGAAGATGTGGTTGTGGAGGGTTGTTATTCAAACAAAGCTCATATGTGGGGTTCCTCAGGGGTTCATTCTTGGTTCTCCCTCATTCAAATTTCAATCCACTAATTATGGAAGCCAATGCTAAATCAACTGCCTATGCTTCATGGTTCAAATTAAATAAGCTATCTTTAAATATCAAAAAATCTAATTTCAGGATTTTCAGTGGCAAAAAAAGTGTCATGTCAACGTTTCTAGATATTATTGATGAAAGCTTAAGCTGGAGTAAACATATTGACTGTTAGAAGAAAAATAAACGAATCAATTGTAAGGAAGGAGGGTTAGACATCTTGTCTCTGCAAACTGTCTCTTTGTTCTTTTTTACAGTTTAATTTGTCCTTATCTTTCATAATATAGAAATATTGTAATATAGTTTGGGCCAGAAACGTTTTGTTAGGGTGGCAACACAATCTCAGTCTCACATCTCAGCTGTTCCTTTATTTCAGAAACTGCGGATTCTTACCATTTATGACATTAATATTTCTTTAACTTGCATTTTTATGTATAAGATACTTTTAGGTGAAGTAAATATTCCTGATAATTTCAAGTCCTACTTCAAAGTTAATTCACAGATTCACTCATACTCAATTTGTCAATCTTCACATCTTCATCCTCCTGAATGACTGCATAGCAGAAGTCAATTTTCTGTCAGATTTAAACCAAATTATGGAATGATTTTTCCCACGTAACAGAAAAATGTCCCTCTGAAAAAAAGTGCCTGAAAAAAATCTAGTTGCTGTTTTGTAAGAGTAATTTCTTTCTTTTATTTTTCGGTTATATTTACATATATCTATATTTGTTTGACTTTACATTTCCATTGCTTATTAATTTACACAGGGGTGTATTCATTATTTCTATATTGTTTGTCTATTTTTTATTTTGTATTGCTTGAATTGCAAATGAAAACAAATATAATGACTGTAGATATTTAAAATGGTCATTTACATTTTAAAGGGTTATGTTAAGACTACTTAGATTGAGGACTGCATACCCTAAGGACTACAGTACATACGTAAAGGACTACAAACCTTAAGGACTACATACATTAATTTCAGAATGTCATACTTTAAGGAGTAGATACCTAAAGGACTAGATATGTAAAGGACTAAAAACCTTAAGGACTACTATTATGAAACACAATCTTACCCCATCACCAGCCCATTAATGTAGTCACACCCTCCCATGAAACCAAAGTAAAAGTTTCTGGACGGACAGAAAGACAGATTTAGCTTTGTGACTGTGTACTTTTTCCACGTCTTTTTGTCCAATGAGACTCTTACCTGCTGTAGAACTCTCTGTAGTCTGCAGACACTTTCTCCACCAGACCTTTATACCTGAACAGGTGACATGACAGTACACGCATCACAGAGAGGTTAGAGGACGGATGATGTCATAGTGTGTGAGATAGGGTCTTACCTCACGCTCTCCTCACACAGGTTCTTCTCCTCAACCAGTGCCAACAATACCAATTTATCTGTCGGAAGGAGGGAGAGTCACTTTAAATGAACCAATCAGCAGCCTCGAGCTACAGCTGCAGTTTCTCAGATATCCACTTTGTGCTGCTATAACCTCTCTTAATGGATACAAGTGAACAATAAACTTGTTCACATAACATATGAGTTAACACAAATACATTTACCCGGAGCTACATTACATATCACAACATATAAATATGCTAAAATAATCTAAACATTATTATATATTATTATATAATCAAAATCTAAAGAAATAGAATTACTAATGTAATATACCATTTAAAACTGTTTAAAAAGTGAGAAGATATACTGCTCATCACACAAACCTCATTTTGTCAATGGTTAAAAACCAAACCAAACAGTTTGGGCTGTTCATAAAATTTAACCATTAATGTCCTGGCCAAAATTTTAACATCTGAAAATAGTTTTCGTACTGTGGTGGTACTCACAGGTGAACGGCCATCTTATTGTGTACAACTACAAGGTGAGTATGTGAGTTTTACAGCCAAATGTGGTTGAATAGTGGGTTTAATAGACATGGCAGTGTTTTATAGGTGGCCACACGGGGGCACTACTGATCACATGTGTTAAGGATGTTACCTGATTCTCCCATTGCGTACAAAGTGAAGCTGTCAATCATCAAGAAGTTTGGGAAACGTTCTCTGTTGATCCACGACTTCAGATCACCGTCAAGTTCCTCTGAATCACAAATAAAAGTAATTCAGAGATTTAAACACAGTTTACCTGAACACAAGTCACACTAGGGAGACAAAGTTTTACTTAAATCAGCATTATTTTACCCCTCATCACCCATGTTAGCTCTTAGAGAAACACATCCTCTCGCTCACAAAGACACGTTTTGGTTAAAGAACAATGGTGTCTTGCGGTGAAAGGACAAAAATGATGTTTCTTGGTTAAAGATCAACCATGATGTGGCTTGGTTACCGGACAAGCCATTACACAGTTTTAGCTATACCATATCCTAGTAAATTATAATCATGCACCGCCTATTTATCAAATTATGCTTATCCTGATGAAATGTGGGACCCAAATTGTTAATCTTGTTAACATGATATTGCTGAAATGATTGTTATGACGATGATGCCACAATGATGTTGGAGGGCATTAACTCAATATGTCGACATCACCTGAGTGCAGCCAGGTGTGTTTTTGCTTGAGGGGCAAACACTTTTTCAACTGCATTTCGAGACAAAGTGAGTTTTCTTTTTAAGATGCGTTTCATTCAGGTTTTTGTTGCAATGAAAGGTATTCAAGTGACACTACGAGAGAATGCATGTGGATTTAATGGCTGCTCTTACAATGTCTCTTGATGAAGGACAACCATAATGTCTCTTGGTTAAAGGACAACACATGAGCAAGGGCAGATCTCTCAGAGGTCAGAGTTTACTGTCTTACCGTTAAAGGTGAAGTAGGTTCCATCTTTAAAAACCACCACAGCCGGTAGAGACGGGAGGGAGACCACCTAGACATATAGACCATAGATTAACAATTTGGACAGAGGGGCATTCTACATGTTCGGTTGTTTCGGTGCCGTCCTCTATCGTCCTGTCCCTTCCTAAATTGTCCTATACCTTCCTTCACTACCCTCTTCGTCCTCTGCTTTCCTTTTTTGTCCTCCATCGTCCTCTTTCATCCTCTACCTTTCTCCTCTACTGTCCTTTCTGTCCTCTACCGTCCCCTATCCTCCTCTTTTGTCCGCTCAGTCAGTCTTACCTTGGGCAAGACGTCTTTGGTCGAAGAGAAAAAGTAGGTGTGAACGATCAGCTCCTCTGCTGCTGACGTGTAGTTTCCCTAGGAATACACCAGAGGTCAAAGGTCAGCCGTGTGTGTTTATGTTATGACCAGTTTCGTGGCATAATTATGAGGACTGTCTTTCACTGCTTTATTGATGGAATGAACCTGCATTTAAAAGAAAGACACACAGATAGACATGGCCCCGGTCCCTCTCGGCCCTCCTCCGCCGCCAACTTTCTGATATGGTTAGAATCTTTTTTTTTTATTCACCAAATAAATTGCATTTCCATTCTGAATCCCGAAGGACTCGATATGTTTTCAAAAGAACAAAACATGATCACAGAGGAAAGTGGATCATCATCAAATGAAAAAATCGGTGGTTGAATCCTGGGGTTTCTTGAAATGCCCTCAACACTACAGCTTTGTGTTTGTGTGTTTGTGTGTGTGTGTGTATACCTTCAGGTGCGAAGTGGCTCCAACATAAACAAACATGACATCATGGCGGTCCATAGCGTGTTGGAAAAGCGAAACACTGCTGAGAGATCGAACCAACGGCCTAAACAACACGACATAGACGGGTCAGAGCGACTGCTGTGAGGTCACACTGTGTGTTTCAAGCTTTATTTTGTTGTCTTACATCAGATCTGTACCACAGGATCTTACATCAAATGTTTTTAAACCTGTGACTAATTGACATTATCAAACGCAGCAAAGCTGATTTCTAAGGTTACTCGCCCTCCAACACGATTGGCAAAGTCCAGGATTCCGTCTCTGGTTCTTGGTCCTGAATAATTATATTTCACCCCTTTCTTCAACCTGAAAATGGAGAAGAGATTTGTATTTATTCAAGCTGGAGAACAAAGCGACAAAGATCAGTATTGACTTGGAAAAGGCGCCATCCTGCAACTGAACTGATGAGAGCATTTGGCGGCGGGCCTGATACTGCCGCAAAAAGTCCCTGCTGAGTAAATCCAGCTGAGACCATCTCATCTCACTCTGGCAGGGACACCTGCTACTGAACAGATGTTATTGATAGATACATAATTGATGCTAGATTGATCGATTGGATTATTGATACATAGATCGACGATTGATATATAGATAGATGGATGGATAGGTAATTGATGAATATGTATTTATCCATCAAAGGTACATGTCGGTGCTGGTACCTTTTTACATTTATAAATGTTTAAAACATATACCCTGGCAGTGGCAAATAGCTTTGTTTTTTGTTTTTTCATTTATATATTTTACATTTTAAATCAATTACCAAATATTTTTTAAATATTGCTGCTACTGTGTAAAGCAAATGATGTGTATCTTATTTAATACGTGTTTGCACAAATCAAAGTGCATAATACACTACTTTTTGAATTAATTGCATTACAATGCAGTTGTATTTGTGTATGAGTTGATTTAGTAAATTACATGATTAGTTCCTGATAAAGATGTAGTGAATGTTTTGTGTTACTTACATCAAAATTGCCGGATAACCTCTGACCTTGAACTCTTTGGCCAAACCTGCAGAGAGAAACACAGCATCACGTCTGACCTGTGACCCCACGGACCTCACATTTCTGGTCAGTTCCGTAGTTCCTCAGGGTTCCGTCCTGGGTCCCCTCCTCTTCTCTCTCTACACCAACTCTCTCGGTGCTGTCATTCGATCGCATGGCTTCTCCTACCACAGCTATGCTGATGACACCCAACTAATTCTCTCCTTCCCTTACTCGGACACTCGGATACTCAGGTGGCGGCACGGAACTCTGTCTGTTTGACTGACATCTCGGAACTCCTTCTGTCTGACTGACATCTCTCAGTGGATCCCCCACCATCTGAAAATCAACCCCGACAAGACTGAACTACTTCTCTTTCCGGGAAAAGATTCTCCTACCCAGGACTTGACGGTCAACTTTGGCAACTCGGTTGCCTGCTAAGAACCTCGGCGTGACACAGCCGACTCTCCCTGACTCCCAACATCACTGACAACACAATCCTGTAGATACTCGCTCTACAACATCAGGAGAACACGTCCTCTTCTCACTCAGAAGGCAGCGCAGGTACTGGCTCATCCAGTTCTAAACATGGTGCTCACGTACCATGCTGTGAATGGATGGGGTCCAGCTTACATCCAGGACCTGGTCCAACCCGACATCCCGACCCGCACTCTCCGCTCTGCATCTGCCAAACTGCTTGTTCCTCCTCACTGAGAGCAAAACACTCACCCCGGACAACAACTGTTTGTGCCCCTTCCATCTGACAGGAGGCTGAGGTCCATAAGGACATAGACCTTCCGCAATAGAACGTTCCTTCTCCTCTTTAGTTGGTGTCATAAAACAAGTCTGAATGCTCAACTAAACCAGACACTACATTTGTTTATTTACTGGATCCCCAGTAGCTGACGCCTTAGCGGTAGCTAATCTTCCTGGGGTTCCCAGAAAAGATAAAAAGTAATAAACACAAAACATTTAGATCAGGCGTAAAACAAATTTTATTTTATTTTAAGAGTGTGGCCTAGACTGCCCGCAGGTGCCTGTGCATGAGTCGGCCAAGCAAGCAAGTAAAGGATAGCCACAAAGGCTAGCTAGCAAACTAAAGACATGACCGATTTTCTCTGGCTGTATTAGCCACTTGTCAGCAGTTCGGTCCTGTTATTGCTAGTGCAATGCTAGCTAGCGCCATGTTAGCACCATGCTAGCGCCCCCGCCAGCCAGGGTTAGGGTTTTTTTCCTCTCTTTTTCTTAAAACCCCATACATTCCAATGGAGGTTTTGTGTCGGCATTTTGCGATTTTTGGGAAAACCGTAAGTAATTTTTCTTCTCACACGATTCCCAATGGGTCCCGCTGAAATTTTGAGACAATTCCGAGCAATGGTGCGGGAGGAGTACGGAAGAGAATAAGGCGATTAATTAATATGTGAGATAACAAGGAGTCTGCTTCACAGTGCAGTCGAAGACTAGAATGTATATTGTCCAGTACACTTGCAGTTTTCAAATAAAGATCAGATGACTACAAAAGCAATGGAAAATGCCAAGTGGTTAACGGCCTCAGGTGCGCCGTTTTAATAGATTTCAATAGTTGTACATCCACGGGACATTTTCATGTGTCTCAATAAATGTCTTAATGCACTTATATGTTTATATTGTTAATTTTTGCTTTTACATTTTTATCTTATTTCACTTTAACTTATTTTCATATTTTTTTCTATTTATCTCCTTTTATTGCACCATCCACATAAAATTTCTGTATGTGTTCAGCCTTTCACAGTGTTTTATACAGAAAGTGTGTCACAGTAAATGTATGTATCTATTTCACATGAAATTGCAGTGATGCTTTTTTTGTGATGCTTTTATTTTAAAAGGCTTACTGACCGGTGCTGGCCGTGGCGTCTGATTTCCCGACGTTGACTGGAGAGCCGAGACTCTTGAGTTCTGATCCAATCTGGTGCCAAACAGGATCCAGTTGTTTACAGAACGAACACCAGGGGGCGTAAAACTGCACAGAGACGATCAGACACAACACACCGTTGTTTCCATGGATACCAAATCCCTTGTCATTAGTAGTGTTATATATGTATATACTCTAAAATGAATTCCAAATGAGTGTATTTAAAGGTACTAAGCAAAGAGTTAATTAAGAGCAGTTTGTTCTCTCGTCTTGTGCGTATTTAAAAATACAACAAAACAATATTTGTTATTAACAACTAAGGTTCTATCAACTCCGTCTGGAGATTTAAATGAAAATGTCCATGAGACTATGTGACCTTTCCATTTTTCCGCAATAATAACGCGTTAACGTGCCCAGCCCTAATATATTTTTATGCATGTAGTAAATTATCAGTACTGCGGATTCCGTGTGACTTTACATACTTTGATGAGCCAGATGTCGTCGTCAGCTCTCGTCTCCATGAAGCTGTTGGAACAACGTTTCTTCCCGTGTTAATGTCCACATGTTATCTATAATAACTATGTTACAGACAATCAAACACAAACTGTAATGTTCAATGTTGAGCTTCCTTTAACTAACACATGACTGTACAAATATATATTTGTGTGTAACTGTTAATTGAAGAGGTTTAAACTGTGATTAGATCAACTGATTCTGGGATGCTTTTATTGTGAAACTCTCGACACTGAAACAGGAAGCTGTTTAAATCTCAGCTTCCTAACAGGCGTGGTTTTCTTATCATATAACTATTTTAAATGCGTACTCACGTATCATCAAGCTCCTCCACGAAGGCCGAGGCTGACAGAGCCAGCAGAACTAACAAACAAACAGACAAATATTTACATTCCTCTCTGTTTAACAGAGCTGCGATTGGTTGATCTGTTCACTGATTTTTACATGTCTGATGAAATATGCTGAGACAGGAGGCTGCTCCCTGGACTAACACAATAAGACAGTAATCGACCTTTAAAGGCCTGAAATTGCTCTATTGAAAAGTGGACGTCTTCAGGGGGTTCTGCAGTTCTCTGCAGCTCTGAGGTTAAATCCTCCCTCCATCAGAGATTGAGGATCTCACTGAAGCCAGTTGAGCTCGACGTCCTGGGCTCTCGGAGTTGAGGGGGACAAGCCTAGAGCAATGGCGTCTGGGGGAGGACGTACCTGAGAGCAGGACGGCGTTCCTTGGGTTCCACATGGTGACTGACTAAGTAGCTGCAGCGCAGACGGATTAATAGCACGCGCCTAATCTTCTAACTGCCTACACAGCGTTAATCTGAGGGATTAGCATTCAATCCACTAAAGCTTTATTGACATCACCAGCAACACAGAGTCAACTGAGGATCTTAAGTCTGAAGACTGTGTAAAGGAAGCTAAAACAGCAGATATGACGGAAGTGAGAATGGAAACAAGGAGACCAGACCGGACAAAGGGAGATCAAACACTGATCAATACATCCTGATCAATATAACCCAGTAGGACGCACTGATCTGCATTGTGGGTTAGTGGCGTTGGTGTTGGCAGCATTGGTCTTGGCATTGCTGGTGCCGAGGGGAAGCGGGGGGGGGATTAGTCCCCCCACTCAGACTTCATACAACCTTTACAACAATTACACAACTATGAGAACAGCTACAAAGAACAAAAACCACAAGACAAGGAGACCATAGACTCACGTTTACTGAGGGAATAAATCAAAAGGGAAGTGGAGTCTCACAGACTGGGACCAGAGGAGCCGCCTCCTGGTGGTCACTTTAGAGAGTGCATCTTTAACACTCATTATTATTCATCGTTTAAAGAGGAAATTAAAAACAACTCCAGGTTTCTCTTCAGCACTGCAGACTGACAGAGAGTCACAGCTCTGTCGAGCCGTGTATTCCTTTGGACCTCACTAGTAACGACTTCATGAACTTCTTCAATGAGAAGATTCTGACTATCAAAGAGAAAATTGATGGTCTCCTGCCTTCAACCAGTGCCGACCTGTCCTCCGTTGTAGGAACCTTGGATGCAGCACTGGGCCCTGATGCCTGTTTGGATGCCTTCTCTTCCATCAACCTTGATTGACTGACTTCTATAATTTCGAAGTCTAAATCTTCTACTTGTCTCTTGGATCCGATTCTGACCTAGCTGCTTAAGGAAGTTTTTCCTTTAGTTAGCACATCCTTATTAGATATTATGAATCTGTCTTTGTTGACAGCACATGTACCACAGTCCTTCAAGGTAGCTGTAATTAAACCTCTTCTTAAGAAACCTACTCTTGCTCCAGAGGTGTTGGCCAACTACAGACTATCTCTAATCTTCCCTTCCTCTCTAAGATCCTTGAGAAATCCGTCGCAAATCAATTATGTGACTTTTTACAAAACAATGCTTTGTTCCAGGATTTCCAGTGAGGATTTCGAGTGCATCACAGTACAGAAGCAGCACTGGTGAAAAGTACGAATGATCTTCTACTTGCATCGGACCAAGGACTCATCTCTTTTCTGGTCTTGCTGGACCTCAGTGCCGCATTTGATACCATAGACCATCGTATCCTGTTGCAGAGACTAGAACATTTGATTGGTATCAAAGGAGCTGCACATGCACGCAAACCTTTTGAACAAGTTTAGTGAGCGAGTAAAAAAAATACTGATTAATATACAAACTCTCCCCTCAAACTAAATGTATACCAAATAACTCTTCAAACATGTATTGTCTAAAAGACACCAAATAACACATCACATATGTTGTATACTTCTGTCTTCCAAGTATGTTCTGTTGCATTAAACTCATTTTATTATTACTATTAATAATGATCATCAGCATCTGGAAGTTCTGCAGGTTTCTAAACATGAAGGCATTCATCATCATTCATTGTCTCATAGGTCATGATGAGCCATGTGTAGAAACTATATTGGACAACGTTCAGATGTATAACAAACATTTTGACAATTTCAATAAAACAGACAGTTTTATGATTTATGAACAGTTTATTTCCATGTAGAAATCCAGTAAATAACCAATAAAAACCTTCAATGGAGGAGAAGCTCCACCCACAAACTGATAGTCAAATCAAAGTGCTTGATCCCCAGTGAGGCCACAGGCGTGGTGTCTGCTGATGTGTCTCACCAGCAGCTGACGGTCCGGACTTGAGTAATCACACTGTCGGCATGGAAACGCCTCACCGGTGTGATGTCGCCGAGCATGAAGATCCAAACTCTTCTTTTGGATACTGAAACCAATGACAGCAGACACTGACATGGAACCCTGAGCAACCACAGCAGAAACATGACCTCACGGACGGCCAGTGGTGGTGTTACCTGCTGTAGTCACAGTGCTGACAGCTGTACGGTTTCTCCTGACTGTGCGTTCTTCTGTGTCTCAGCAGAGAGCTGCGATCTATCGACGCATAGGAACACTCAGTACACCTGTACGGCTTCTCACCTGGTGACACACACACACACTTTTCTTACTTGCGTCTGTGTTGTTAGGTGTGCGTGTTACCGGGGTGTGTAGGTTACCTGTGTGAGTCCTCAGGTGTGCACGTGTGTTACCTGTGTGAGTCCTCAGGTGTGCACGTGTGTTACCTGTGTGAGTCCTCAGGTGTGCACGTGTGTTACCTGTGCGAGTCCTCAGGTGTGCACGTGTGTTACCTGTGCGAGTCCTCAGGTGTGCACGTGTGTTACCTGTGTGAGTCCTCAGGTGTGCACGTGTGTTACCTGTGTGAGTCCTCAGGTGTGCACGTGTGTTACCTGTGTGAGTCCTCAGGTGTTGCTGCAGTGAGGCCTTCAGCCTGCTGCTGTAGGAACAGTGAGGACAGCTGAAGGGTTTCTCTCCTTCGTGAGTTCCCAGGTGACGCCTCAGAGTCAACTTAGAGGAGAACTTCCTGTAGATTAAAAACATGGCAACTAAAGCGGCCAATCATCAGCCAGCAACAAGTAACACACCTGGTTTAACGAAGGTTACCTGTCCTCTTCTTTCATTGGTCCACTTAACCCGACAATAAGGGCCTGTGGAGTGATGCAGAGTGGGTGTATCTACCTGTGGCAAAGAGAGCAACAGAAACCTGCGTCGCTGCTCTTCTTCTTCGCTTCTCCTTCGTCTCTCCTGCTCTTCTTCCTCTTCTCAGCGAAACTGGGCAGAGGACCAGTGAGAAGTCTGCTGGTCTGACTGACACACAGATACTGGTTTGTGATCCGCTGGAGGATTTTAATAATTTATAGCTGCAACATTGAGGGATTCAGGTTTAAACTAAGCTTAAATCTCAAGAGTCAAAAACCCTCATGGTGAACTCAACATAATTAACTACAAAACATTAAAAATGATCAACCCTGATTTATCAATTATTATAACTTACAGTATTGTATGAAATTGTGAACAATTGAGATGTTGCTTTATACGGTGTATGTATTACAGGTTAACACATTACTATTGCGCTCAGGCAGTTATTATTTATGTTATTGATAACCAAAGTTATTAATAAGCTAAACAATTGATAACCAAAGTTATTAATAAGCTAAACAATTGATAACCAAAGTTATTGATAATCTGCATCGCTGAGGGTGTGTTCTTATTATTTTAACAGAAATCCAGAATCAACATGGACTTCACAGACTCGTCCTCCTGCTACTGATCAGAGGTTATTGATCCATAAATAGACTCTTTTTCCCTTAACACATTATAAATAGATAGATAGACACACTGCTTTGGCTCCTCCCTGATGAAAGAAACATATTAATGCTGCCATCTGTTCACATTTATAAATTTAACTTGTTATAATCATGGAGGGTAACTTTTTCTTCTGGAACAATCTAGATAACACGTTGATTTATTGTAAAAATGTAATTGTTGCCCAGCATTAATATATGAATTATATATATATATATATATATATATAATTATATATATATATATATAATTATATAAAATATTCATAGTAGAGGATTCGTCAGTGATATATTAAAAACATTCTAGGAAAAGCTTGTGACTGGCAGATGGAGAGCGTTTCATTCGTCTACCTGTCGGAAAACTCGTCGTCCTTCTCTCCTGCTCGCCCAGTCGGGCAGCTCCTCCATCCATCTGCAGGAACCAAGTCAAACGTTATTGATGGACGCTTGAACATCACAAGCAGCGGAGGACGACGTTCCCACCTGAGTGGTTGGAGTGGCGACGCCGATTGTAACCGCTGTGTGTTTGTTGGTGAGCTTTACGCAAGGCGGCGCTCCTGAACCTCCTCAGACAGACGGGACAGCCGAGCTGACGGGACGCTGCCACTTTCCTCTTCCCGCCCGGCTCCTCCCTCCTCCTCCGGCTGTGGCTCCTCCAGTGGCGCTCCAGCTCCTCCCAGCTGTCGGCCGTCCAGCTGCAGCAGACGCAGCCGAAGTCGCCCGCCGCCCGGTGAGACCGGACGTGGACGTCCAGCAAGCGCCTGGACGGCAGGATCAGCGGACACAGGGGACACGGCAGCTTTGTCCGCTGGGGGTCAGTGCCGCTCGGTTTCAGGCTGGAGGAGGGGTCCTCAGCCGGAGGGCGGGGGGGGGAGGAGCAGGCGGGAGCGCGATGAGGAGCTTTGGCAGCCGAGATGCGACACAGTCCCAAAGTCATGAGGTGAGCGGACTGAGCCGTCTCCTCCTGGGCGCCACCAGGGTCTAGAGGACAAGACAGATCCACTGAAGCCTCTTGTGGGGGGAACATGGAGGACGACTCCTCGAACAGCGTGTTGACCTGCAGAGGGAATCACGTACATCTGTGATCACGTAGCGTGTTCCATCGCACACTTAACATGTAACGTTTTAAGTCGAAATAAATATAGAATACATCGCAGCACCAAAAATGATCGCGCTCATTTTCATGTACCGTGCGATACATTGACTTATCGGGACAAGTGTGTGTGTGTGTGTGTGTGACAGGTGTGTCACCTCACAGGTGTGTGCAACTTGAAGCACGCCTTCGCTGCCGATGTCACAGGTGGGCGGGCTCATGTTGTCCAGCATGTTGTAGAGGAGGAAGTCTTCGTCTTCATTGCTCTGCTTCGACTCTCCGTTCAGATCAAAGTGATAGGGCGACGCCCTCTGCCGGACCCCCCCTTCCTCCCGGTCCCCAGCCGCACCCCCTTCGCCGCCCTCCCCCAGGTACGTGAGCGTTTGGAGGCGGTGCCTAACCTGCAGGTGGCTGCTGATAGAGGCCTTCAGGCCACAGGTGAACTGACAAAGTTTACAGCGATAGAGCTCCACCATGAAGGACTCCACCAGCCCCAACAGACCTTCCACCTCCCCACAGTACAGGCTGGAGCTCACGACCCCGCCCACCAGCTGTAGAGTGACGGGGCTGACGTCCCGGTACCGCTGCTTCCCCGCCAACATCATGGCGACATCACTGGAAGCAGAAGAACGCACGTCATTGACATCGGGCCCGATGGCCGCTGACTGGGGGCGTCGCCTCGTCATCAGCAAGTTTAACCATGAGATGTAGAAATGTTTTACCTTCTTTATGATCGGGGCGTTAAACCCCAACGGGTATTTAAACCTACTGGGCTGGATGCGAATAGGGAAAAAAATGACCTCCTAGCGTCTATTCCTCACCACCTTTCCTTGACCTCTGTGGAAAACGTCAGGAGGTCAAGGACAAGTGGTTAGGAGAGTTGATGAGGAGTCCAATCTCTCATCAACAGGTCGAGCTATAGTGGTTAGGAGATAATCTTTAGAAATACCAGATGGGTGACTGACAGACAGGTCGGATGGACGACAGGAAGTAAACAGTTCTATGATTGACGGACAGAAGAAGATTCGTCCTTTCTTCATGGTAACGGTCAAGTCTTTACTTCTCCTAAACATTCTTCCTTTTAATAACGGCCGTATTGTGCTGTGAAAGCGTTGATGTGAGACTGCGTGAAGGACGCAGTTAGCGGACCAATCACAGCCTGGGGCGCTGCGTCGCAAGGACACGCGTGTTATATCATAATATACATCTCCCCGGGCCGGGGACACGCCGGTGTTACGTGCCGACTGGTTTTTGAACCTACTGGTTTGTCTACGCGTGCGTGCGTGTTTGTTTGTTTGTTTGTTTGTTTGTCCCCTACAGCGGCAGATGTTGTCTGCCTCAGTCACCTGATTCGTCACACATTCGCAAACATATTGCTGAAAATGTTCAAAAGTCATCACATGTCCAGCGATTACGATCGTATAAGTGAGCACTACGTCACTATTATGACGTCACGTCATAATACATTTATTAAAAGATCCCCGCGAGCAAAATGACGACACGCTACAAGACGGACGCGTTACGCCGTCGGCCACTCGAGCTCCCTGATGTCACTTCCGTTTCCTGTTCTTATCGTCACATTGTACATAAAACCAGTTGGTTCAGAGGGAACCAACACAACTGGTTTTGGTGGCGGATCGTGAAACACTTTGTCGGTGTTTCCTGATGCTTTATACTGTGAAAATACTCAATAATTATTAACACTAAGCACAGAAGGATGTAATATTAGTCATGTTCTATCCACAAAATGAATTACAGATGATTTACAGCCAATGTAAACACTGCCTGATTAGAGTTTTTGTAGAAACCTTAAGGCCTTAATCGGCTTATAAGTAATTGTTTGATGGCTCACAATTTGCAAAAAAATAGAAAAATCACCATGCCTGAATATCTACAAGAGCAAAAACTCAGGAGCAAATTCTAATTGGATTACATTCATTTTGTCCATTAGCGGGCTTTACAATCTGTGGACGTCCTCTGTCCCAGGACCCTCACACCCAAACAGGAACAACTCCCCCAAAACCCCCTAACGGAGAAACGAGGAAGGAACCTGTGGGAGAGCAAACCGGGAGGGATCCTCCTCCCCGGATGGACACAAGTGCAATAGTCTACAGGATGATCATCCAAACAGTCAATGCACAGAACCACAGAGGCAAGACCAGGTCCAGATGGACCCATGACCCACGGTGACCTGTGAGGAGACGGGTGGCAGGCAGGAGGTGCAGAGCGGACAGGGTCCTTTCCACCGTATTATCCCCTGTTTGTAATGTTACACGCTCTGTATTTAGACCCTTTCATTTCCACCCAGATAAGACGAATGTTTTAGGACACCATGTTTTCAGCAAGATGATTATCAGAGGTGAGACGTATCGGGGGGGTTCTCTAAGTTCATTATATTATATATATTATAATATAATATATTATATTTGTAAGATTACAGAACTGTCAGTTTAATCTTACCTGTGACCTTTGCCCCTGGACTTTGCTGTGCATCCCCACATTCTCTACATAGTTCTGTCAGGTCTGATTACTTTCTCAATAACATCTAAATGCATACGACAAAAACAATGGTTCACTTTGCGAGGGTCCGTCGGTGCTCTTTTTATCTGAAGCTTTTCGAGATCTATTTCTACTGAGCAGAGGTCGCACCAACTTTGCAATTCTCCCTTCATACTGATGTTGCTAATTAACGTGATAGATTAATGTATTTTACGATTCCACGTCTGTAAAGCACCTTTTTAACGGTGTGGATGTAATGTGTAAATAACTGTATCAAGCATCGCACCAACACACATGTTTGGAAGCGTTCCACAACACGCCATCAAAAACCAGATGTCTTGGTTCACCTTTAACCAGAAGGTTTACAACTGTATACAGTTAATAGAGTAATAAGTAACTACCAACATCAACTGTCAGGCTGGCCGACCGCTTAGCGCAGACGTCTCGAGACATGTTGTTATTTTGCTCGACACGGTTTGAATCCAGATTGTGGCGATCTTTCATTTAAATATATTTTAATCTATATTTTCTTAAATGACTTTCTTAAGTGGCTGTGATGCACGATGAACAGAATCCCCCCTTTTGTCCAGATGTGTCGGCGGTGGAAGCTGCAGCCTCGCGAAAAGTATCGATACACATGTTTGGGAGAGTTTCACGATCCGCCACCAAAACCAGTTGTGTTGGTTCCCTCTGAACCAACTGGTTTTATGTACAATGTGACGATAAGAACAGGAAACGGAAGTGACATCAGGGAGCTCGAGTGGCCGACGGCGTAACGCGTCCGTCTTGTAGCGTGTCGTCATTTTGCTCGCGGGGATCTTTTAATAAATGTATTATGACGTGACGTCATAATAGTGACGTAGTGCTCACTTATACGATCGTAATCGCTGGACATGTGATGACTTTTGAACATTTTCAGCAATATGTTTGCGAATGTGTGACGAATCAGGTGACTGAGGCAGACAACATCTGCCGCTGTAGGGGACAAACAAACAAACAAACAAACAAACAAACACGCGTAGACAAACCAGTAGGTTCAAAAACCAGTCGGCACGTAACACCGGCGTTAGCGTCCTTTTAGCGACTCTGGTTAAGAACATTTTAACTTTGATTTAAGTTCAACAATTTAAACAGTACTTGGCTCGAAAAGCAGGAAGCTAACGCTTTAATGCCGAGAAATCTCCTCAATACACTACACGATACATGAAAGTAGCATCACGGAGAGCTAATGTGGCTAACTTGATGCTAACGCGAGCATTGTGGTGAAAAGTAACTAAAGCCGCCGTGTCTTCGGGCTCCATGTGGCGTCGTGTTTCCCGTGTGAGACTCGGGTTAACATACGGAATAGAACTTAAAGCTCACCTGCTCCTCGTCCTGGCGTAAACACACAACTTAACTTCCGCCTTTCCACCGAGAAGGATGACGTCACGTCCGGCCACTTCTCCCGCCTCCGATTACATCTATTCAAGTTGTTTTTACCAAACAATTGATAATATTATGAACGGAAGTCTTTGTAAGCCGTGAGGGCGCCGGGCAGCAGGTCAGGTTGGGCTTGGCTGTCTTGCTCAGAGACACTTTGACTCGGCACATGGAGCCGCCTGGGTTCGAACCGTCAACCTTGCAATTCCATGCAGACTTTTGACCTGAATTATTGCAATCAGGTCAAAAGTGCAGTTATCAATAATGTACATGTGAGGATCGTTGTTATAACTCATCAACCTGTTTATGCTGTTTAACGAAACCAGTTAGCAAACTAAGTTAGGATTAACACTTATGCTAACGTTAGCGAGCATAATGGCTGCTGATTTATTCTGTTAGGCAACTGTGTGTGTTTGTGTATATGTGCGTGTGTGGTTGAAGCCTCTCATGCAACATTGTGTAGTGTGAACCTGCTGTCACGCAATGCGGCTGCTTCTTGTTTTGATGCTGTCACAGACACACACACTCACTTCGTCCACACGCACAAACACACGCAGTGATGGTGGGTAATACATCTTAATCTATATTAAATTCTGGGTCGTCTGATTCATTTTATTATTCATTTATTATTGTCTGTGTTGGTGTGTGTGAGAGTGTTTAGTTAAGGGTAATTCAAGGTTTATTACTTTTAAATGCAGGGTTGATTAAGGCTGATTGAAGGTTGATTCAAAAGTAAAGTGAAGGTGAAGGTACAGTTAAGTATGAATAAAGTATTTAATGAGGAGTAAATTCAAGGTTTAAAGGTAAATGAAGGAATAAATGAAGGGTTTATTGGGGTGAGGAGTTGGCTCCTCCCCCTCAGCTAACTTCTGCTTTGACTCAACATCTGTGGTTCAACATCTGTGGTTCAACGGACGGAAAGTTAGAAAACGCTTCAGAGAGACAGAGAGGAGACGAAGACACATTGTAAGTCCAAGCATTTGCGTCTTTAGATACTTCGTGTTTACTGCATGTTTCATGTACATTTGGACTTTCTGCTTTTTGAGTAGATTGTGGGTTCGGATTTTATTCTATTGACTCTCTTAGTTTATTCTATTACAATGAATCCGATTTCAGTAGTTGGTGGATAATCAGAATCTGTAAAGTATCTAAAACTTTAAAATGAATGTATTGGTTCTTCAAAGTATAATATAATATGGCACTGAAAAGTAGGAATATGTACAGAGTAGCATATTGTATTACTCATAGTACAAGTAATAAAATGTGCTACTCTTATGTGGATTTATTTCATTTATTAAACAACCAAGAAACATGAACTACTATCACCAGTTTAAATGATAAAGTATTGCACTATTAGTAAAAGTAATTTATATTTATATTATAGCTATAATTCCTTTCTGTTAATTTACTGTTTTTTTTATTATTTTGATTTCATAAACACTCAAACTTTTCAAATTATTTGAAGAATTAATTTATTAATATTAACTTACTTCAGTACATCTAGCTGGTAATAGTTCTGTACCTTTACTTTGGTAACAAGTACATTGTTAACCCTATTTAACGAGTGAAGGTGATGTCACAGCTGTTGTTGGTGTGTTTGTTTCTTGAATAGGCCGCTGAATGACCTCATCACCATAAACAAAGACCCTGATCACATGACATCCATGGATGACATCATGGTCGAGTCCATCACAGAGGCAACTAACTCGTCCTCCACCCAGATAGTAATTATTATCAGTTATTGACCAATCTGTTTGTTTAATAAGTAAGAATTTCACAGATTAATCGACTAAACAGGGACAGAAACATACAAAAGAACAACGCTTCACACAAAGGTGTGTGTGGCGTGTTCAGATGCATCCAGGTGGGTTCACGTGTGTCCTTTCTCCTTGTTAGGTCGCGTCCTACTTCAATCTCTCATCGACACCTGACGACGACTACGACTATACCGACGACTTATTCTGTGACCGCTCATCCGTCCGTGAGTTCCGGAGTCGCTTCGAGCCGCCGTTCTTCTGGATAATTGCCTTGGTGGGCGGAGCCGGGAACCTGGCCGTGGTATGGATCTACCTGAACCTTCGCCGGCGACTGAAAACCATGACAGACGTGTACCTGCTGAACCTGGCAGTGGCCGACTTGCTGTTCCTCGTGACCCTGCCGCTGTGGGCAGCCGAGGCGTCACACGGCAGCTGGAGCTTTGGCTCCGCCCTCTGCAAGTTAAACTCCGCCCTCTACAAGGTGAATCTGTTCAGTGGCACGCTGCTGCTCGCCTGCATCAGCGTCGACCGCTACGTGGTCATTGTTCAGACCGTCAGGGCGCAGAACTCGCAGGCGGAGCGCCGCAGCTGCAGCCGGCTGGTGTGCTCGGGGGTGTGGTTGCTGGCGCTGCTGCTCGCCACGCCGGAACTCGTGTTCGCCGCCACCACAGAGCCAAGTGGCCGGGAGTACTGTCGGATGGTGTTCCCGGCTCACCTGGGCAACCGGACCAAGATCCTGGTGCTGTCGCTGCAGGTGAGCATGGGCTTCTGCCTGCCCTTTGTCGTCATGGCCTTCTGCTACAGCGTCATCGCTGCCAAGCTGCTCAGGACCCGCAGCTTCCAGAAGCACAAGGCCATGCGTGTCATCCTGGCCGTGGCTGCAGCGTTCGCCAGCACCCAGCTGCCCTACGCCGGCGTGCTGGTGATGGAGGCGGCGCAGGCAACCACCGTGACCCTGACGGAGTGCGAGGACCTGAAGCAATTTGACAAGGCTGGGCAGATGCTGAAGAGTCTGGCCTACTTGCACGCCTGCCTCAACCCGTTTCTCTACGCCTTCGTGAGCGTGCGCTTCCGTCGTGACCTACTGAAGCTGCTTCAAGCGTGCTGCCGCAAGCCCGCCTTTAAGGGTCGGATCGGCAAGACCTGCAGGAGCCCACCGGGCTCCACGAGGGCCTCTGTGATGTCGGACAGCGACACCTCACAGGCGCTCTCGCTGTAGAGGAACCTGCAACCTGTTGGTGCTGTGACGTCGACAAATGACTTCACAAACCCCTCCAAGGATCCGCGAGTCGCTTCCAGAGGCGGAAACGTAATCAAATACCAAAAAGAATATTTCCCTCAGAGCACCTGAAAATAAAAAAGCTGCTGTTTTTAGGACGTTCCACAAAACAAAAGACACATGAAGGATCCGAGGCCTAAATCACAGAGATTAATACCTTTTATATGAAAGGTTCATTTCAGGGGACTTTTGCTGATCTGGAGTCAAGAACACTGGACTGTTTCCACTCGCCTCTATCGTGACTGTGGGTGTCATTCTGTTGCTGTCATGTGACCTAAATGTTGCATCATGCAGTTCCAGCGGAAACGCTTTGCATCTGTTGTTTGAATGTTTTTGCTGCTGCACAGTCCTGCTAACAGATGTTCATATACATGAAGTGAATGTAAGAGTCATGATGAGCATTAAAGCGTGTCGTAAGCTCTGCAGGGTCTGTAAGCGTGACGAGCAGGAGGAACTGATGAAATGTTTCTTCATATACTTCCTCATCTCAGCCTGATGGTACTTTATTTTATCCTTATTTATGATCACTGAATGATATTAAGAGTATATAACCCAAGCTCCACATCTCCTGCTGAAGCTCTTTAGTGGTCTTTGAAGGGGTCTTACTCGACACCAAATCCTTTAACAGGACATTTATTAAATATTACTGGCATTAGGAGCAGAGTTGAAACATACAGAAACCTGCATCAAGTTGCTGCTCAGAGAAAATGTGACAGAAAGAGAAGTGAAACTGGAAAGACGACAAAGAGACTCAAAGACAGAAAGAGAGAAAGATTTTAAAGCACTTTATTCAAACATTTATTATTTTTGCACCAGGTTCACCAAAAGAGACACAGCTTCTGTCTCAGCACTCCTTTTCTCACCGCTGCGTTAACCTGCCTGAACATCTGTTCATCCATCCATCTTCATACAGGGTTCACATGTTGATTTGATTTGTGACGGAAGTAATCTCTTTTACTTTCCAGCTAAAGTCATACCTTTAGTCATGATTTCTAATAATTTAAAATAATGTTTTACCATTATCAATCATTTATTGTTACTTATTATCACTTCTAATAATCACTTATTATCATTTGTAATAATCACTTGTCATTTCTTATTGCTTGTCATTTATAATCATTTGATGCCTTATTATAAATTATAATCCTTTATCCTTTTTATTATCACACACTATATTTCTTAAAATGACTAAAATAACATTAATTTAGTTGTTTTAGGTTTTAATGAGTATTGTATTGCGACATGTCTGATCATGTGTAGTAGGAACTCTGGAAATACTTTATTTCTTTTTGTATGTGGAACCCCGTTAGTGCTGTGGTGCGTAAAAAGCAGCTTATATGTTGCTGTTGAAAAAAAATATATATATTACACACAAAAATTGGAGAAATTTCAATCAAATTTGGAGATTTGCCTCAAAAAATGTCATGAACAGCCCTATAAATCCCCTAAAACCTTTATAAAGAAGGAAAGAACTACGCGATAGCCCGGAGTGTGGCCAGTACACATGTTGACTAGTGAACCCTTTGGTGAAGGCCTCACGTCAGACAGACTGCTTGAGATACGACGAGAGGAGCGTCACATGACACTCGAGACTTGGTAAGTTTATTTTACTAATAATACCATAGATAAAGTTGTGGTTGGAGTAATTGTATTTGGATTGATGATTTTTGTAGCCAAGACTCTGGAGGTGCTGCAAAGAGAAACGACTAACAGAGCTTCCTTCAGTGTCTTTGAATATTGACAATTCTCTTGGCAAACCGTTCGATATTGCTCAAAATGGAAGGAACTCTTTGTAAACATTGGTCAGGATTTAGGTAATAATATTTTGGCTTGTCATGGGTTGCGTTAATGCACAATTTGGGTGCGTTAATTTGGGTATCTGGTATGTCTACCGACCCCAAAAAGCTGGAAGAAAACAACTCCTGCGACGTGTTATGGTTCTTATAAGTCAGAAACGTCCTGCTTGAGCGACTGAGGTTGAACTTCCTCATCATTCTCTCGTCACTATGAAATAGTGTCTCTACATGGCCTTGCCCTCCCCGTTTCATCCCCCGCCCCCCACACTCACTGTAGGTATGATATCTGCCAAAAGCACTTCACTTGGTGCAGACGATATGGCCGACGAGGAGGGGGGGGGGGGGGGGGGCTCTTTAGTCCCAGCAGTACTCCAAAAAGGAGGACTTATACGTGTCTGGACAGGGCATTGGACGGTCCAGCCTAAAGCTGGCTCATTAGCATTTAAAGGAACAGGCACTCAAAACAGGTCACTGTGTGTGGAGGGCTGTTTAAGACGGGTTAATAAGGGTGCTGTTTTAAATAATCCTTGTGGTATTTTGTGGTGGTAAGACCCAAAGAACCACATCAACTTGTGGTGAAATGGGCATGCGATGGGTCCTTTAAAAAGTTATGTCGTCAACAGAAGACAGTTTGTTTGTGTTGAAGGTTGTTATTCAAACAAAGCTAGACTAATATGTGGGGTTCCACAGGGGTCCATTTATGGAACATTATTATTGTTGTTTATATTAATGACTTGTCCATTGTTTCAAAAAGCCTTTTTGTGATACTGTTTGCAGATGACACAACCCTGGTTCTCTCTCATTCAAATTTCAATTCACTAATTCTGGCCATTGTTGACTTAACTGCTCATGCTACATGGTTCAAATTGAATAAGCTATCTTTGAATATCAAAATCAAATTTTGATATTTTTTGTGTAATACATTTTACACAAATGTTTTAACAAAAACTTATATTTAGTCTCTTGAGATGCCTCAAATGTCATCTACAACATTTTAAGTATTATTGTTGATAGCTTAGGTTGGAGTAAACATATTGACTGTTAGTAGAAAAATAGATGGAATAATAAGGAGGGTAAGACTACTTCTTGTTCTTCATTATAGTTGAATTGTTCTTTATCTTTCATATTGTAATATATAGTTAGATAAAGATATAGATTATATAGTACTTCTCTGCAAAAAATGTTTGTCCTCCAGAAACATTATTATGGCGGCAAATCACTGTCAAAATTCGAGAGCGTAAATTAGGTTGATGCACGCGCGTAAATCAGACATCCGCGAGCAAATCTCCGTCTTGCGCAAGATATTTGCTCGCTCGCGAAACGTGAACTTCCTCGCTCGCGAAGTTAGTCTCTGCTCGCGCTCGAAGGTGTTTTCCACGCGCTCGCTGTTGTTCTTTCTGACTGTAAGGGGGCGGAGCCAGTCACATGGTCTCTACACCTGATTGGTTACAAACCCCGTCTTTGGATTGGCTGGAGTGATGCATTCACACAACTATAGAAGCCCATTTCCGCACTGAAGAAAGGGGATAGAAAGTCGAAATTATGAGATGAAACGTTGTCAAAACACAAACGCCCCCCTTTGGTAACCGTAGTGGAGCGTAGATGACAACCAGCTACAAGTGTCATTTACCATCATTACCACGCTTACTGTCACACGCACACACACACTCAACACAACTACGTTATTTCACTTTTCTTTCTTATTATTTTGTTTTCTGTTTGTAATTTTGTGAAATATTTTAATGTATATGTGTCTCTATATGTGTGTCTCCATGTGTGTGTCTCTATGTGTGTGTCTCTATGTGTGTGTCTCTATGTGTGTGACTCTATGTATGTGTGTCTCTATATGTGTATATTCAGGGCTGTAGTGGAGGGTAAACGCACGTAAACGCCGTTTACGCACCTCTAGAATTTTGGAAAAGCGTTTACGCACCTATAAATAGCGTTTACGCACCTCAAAGTTACCTGCACCTTGTATTCTTCCGTTGGAATAATCCGAAATAAACTTGGTGTAATTTTAAAACAGCTAAGACTACGTTTCCTATTGTTGAACATATAAACGCTGTCGTCTGAATCATGTTCATCTGCGCTGTGTTACGGTCTGTGAGCATCCAATCAGCGCCTTGCGCTGTCACTGGATCAGCCCAGTGGTCCCCAACCTTTCTTACCACACGGACCGGTTTCATGTCAGACAATATTTCGCGGACCGGTCGAGAAGGTCCGACGGGAGGGTGTAGTAGTCGTTGCGGGCGGACCGCCCGCCGGGGGGGGGGGGGTAGTAGTCGCGCACTCTGTGTTCGCTGGTCGTGCACGGTGAAAGAAAAACGCCTGGTGACGCGTAGATTAGAAAACAAGTCAGTTCTCAATGTGAAAACAAAACATGCTGTATGGGCTATTTATGATGACGTAGGTAGTACATGAGTGTTACTTTAACTCATGTTGTCAGTGTAATTGACAGGCTGCTTAACTGGTTAACTCTTAATTCAACATATTTTTTCAGGCAGTGAGAGGACAGGCAGTGATGCAGAGAGCACAGGGAGAGAAACACCAGGTCCAATAGAGAGAGAAGGACAGAGGAGCCATGAACCCCACACCTAACGTGGAGGACAAGGAGGCCCTCTGGGCACTACTGTAAAAAGGAGACTCCGTATGTAGATAGTTCTTAATATGCAATTGTGTTGTTGTGTTGACATACTTTTCTTTACTGTTTTCTTAAATTTAACATAATGCAATATAGCCAGGACAGCCTTACAGAGTCGCGACGCTTCGCATCGCGTCGAGGTCTGTATGATCACAAAATTCAGAGTTTACCCACCTCTAATTTTACCACTACAGCACTGTGTCTGTCTCTATGTGTGTGACCCCCCCCTCCCCTCTGCTGACACAGCTTGATCCACACAGAGGTCCCTGCAGCACAAACCTTTCACAACAAAGGCGGCCATGTTTCCAGAACTCCGTCCTCCCATAAATCCCGGAGCGGGCGGCAGTGGGAGGTTTTGCCCCCGAGAGATCAGCATGCCTCTGCCCCCCCGACGCCGCTCCTCCTTCCTGGCACAGCCGTCCTCCGAGCGGCCGGCGCCGTCCTCCTGCAAGCGCGTTGGTCCGACCCCCCGCGGAGTCTTCGTGGGCTCCGCGCCCCCCATGGGAGGGGGCTACAGCGTGGGGACCCGCGTGTCTCGGCGGGCTCTGGGCATCAGCAGCGTCTTCCTCCAGGGGATGAGGAGCAGCGCGGCGCCCGTGGTGATCCGGCCAGCGGGCGCGGCGGCAGCTGGCGGCCTGAACATGTGCCTGGTGGAGTACAGGCACAAAGTGAGAGCCTTAGAACACTTGAACCGACAGCTGGAGGAACACATTCGACTGAGCCTGGACCGCAAGGCGTCCAGAGCCGGGGCCTGGGGGCCTCTCAGGAGGGAGTGGGAGGACGTCTACCGACAGGTGAGCACAGGTGCATGACGTTAGCAGTGATGAATGGAAACTATGTATTAGTTTCCAAAGACAGCCCACAGATGACGCACTGTCTCCATGGCAACATGTTGTATGTTGCATGTGTGAATTTTGTGTGCGTGTATGTAAATGCGTGTGCATGTCTGGATTTCTGTATATTTGTAAGTGTGTGTAAATGGTAAACGGACTGTACTTGACCACTCAAAACACTTTAACACTTCATGTCATTGTTCACACACTGATGACAGCAGCTACGACACACCAGTGTTAACTATGACGAAAAATGTTCGTTAACGAACCTTTTTTCCACGACTAAGACTTAAAAAATAAAAACTATGACTAAATCTATTCTAACTTTCGTTAACGAGACGAACATGTTGGTGGTTGACGAAGTCACGATACTTTTCCCCCAAAATTCGCACGCAGCTGACAGACAACAGACAGACAAAGTACGGCGGATATTAACGCGTCATGATGACGTCATCACGAACCCAGGACGCTCGTATCGGTGCAGCGGTGCTTCTTGTGCACCGACTACGGACCGCGTAGTTACAAACGCGTCGAACGTAATAAACTCATTGCAGGTTCTGAAGCCAAGAAAATAATGTATTGCACATTGTAGGACGTTAAGGTCTCTTTAGTTGGGACAGTGGAAACAATAAAGGAGCATGAAGTGTCAAAAGCACTGCAAGTAAACAGACAAAGACAACAAAGTGTAGCGTTTAGATCCCTGGTCCTCATGAACTTGTTACACCTTTGACAATTTGTTAAATTGCCTTGCAAATAAATGCTTTGCTATTTGTTAAAATCCAAATCCTTTCATGTAATGATGTTTCACACGTCATTTATATCAGCTCACACAAACACTTCAGCCATTTGTTCTTGGCCTCCGTCACATTTTACAACCCATCGTGGCCACGAGTCAAAAAGTAAAACTAATTACATTTTAGTCTAGTTTTTGTCGACTAAAACTAAGAAGGATTAAAATGACTAAATGTGACTAAAACTAATATGCATTTTTCATTTAAAGACTAAGGCTAAATATAAAATAGCTGCCAAAATGAACACTGCGACACACAGAGCCACCTGCCATCAGTAACTAACATCTACACCCTGTAGTCGCAGCCACAGGAGCAATGTTGTGGTGAAGTGTCTTTCCCAAGGACACATGGACGGGTTGGCAGGGCCTGGGATCAAACCGCCAACCCTCTGATTGGAGGAGGACCTGCTCCCCGCTCACCCCCAGTGTAGAGTGTAGGTGTGTGTACAGTTTACACCTGAATAAAGCCGGCGCTGAAGTTCTAACAGCCAACACTCAGTACAGATGACATCACTCCTATCACAGCACTTTGGGAAACGTTTGTTTGCTACACAAATACATTTTGATTGACTGATTAATTGATGTGTGTGTGTGTGTGTGTGTGTGTGCATGTGTGTGTGTGTGTGTGTGTGCATGTGTGTGTGTGTGTGTGTGTGTGCATGTGTGTGTGTGTGTGTGTGTGCGCTAACCCCTGCTGGCGCCGTGTTTCCTGCAGGTCAGTGAAGCGATCCTGGACAACGCTCGACTGATACTGCAGACGGAGAACGTTCAGGCCAACGCTGAGGACTTCAAGGAAAGGTCACAGGACACACTTACAGACACACACAACGTCAAACTCACAGACACACTGAAATGTGTCGTCCCCTTCTTCAGAAATCACGTTACAAAATGACTAACTTGTACCTCCGTCATGCAGGTTTATGTTAGACTTCAGTTAGACCAAGTTTAAGGTCTGAGTTAGACCAGGTCCGAGCAGGTTTAAGTAGACGTCTGTCGGACCAGGTTAAGGGGACCTGATTTTGACCAGGTCTAGGGGCAGCATTGACGTGTGCCTTGGTCGTGCAGGTTTGAGAATGAGCTGCCCTTCCGGAAGGCGGTGGAGGACGAGATCAGCTCTCTGTACAAAGTGATAGACGACGCCAACCTGACGAAGGCGGAGCTGGAGGAGCAGATGGAGAACATGAGAGCTGATCTAAGAAACCTGGAGCAGAACCACGAGCAGGTTCCCCCAGACTCTGTTTAATAAATTAAGCTTTTCTACCAGGCAGAACATTTAAACAGCTCAGCTTCTACACAGAACAGTGTAAATCATTCAAATTAAATAAAGGTCCAATTTGCTTTCATCTTTAAATTTTAACCTTCAACAAAAACCTAAATTTAGTTCATTATAAAATTACTTAACAACAAATAAAATACCAAAATTAACTGATAATAACAGTACAATATAATTATATATATATAAATTATAATAGATAATAATAGATATAATTATGTACATTATTTCATGAATTTGTTATACGATGTAAAGTTCAAGAAGACTTTAAACAAAGAAAGAATCTTCTTGTCCGTCAGTCATATGAATTGTTTACTTCCTGTTCGTTGTCAATCTTACCTTTCTACTTCCTGTCCGTGATTTGCCTTCCGGTCCGTTAGCCATCTTGTATTTCCACATGGGCTGGATTGAATTGTCAAAAGATTATCTGCTAACCCAGCGCTTCCGAAACTTTTCAGGCCACGTGCCGCCTTCTACATCCCAACTGGGTTCATGCAAATCCCCCACACTTAAAAGGAAAAGTCTATTTATAGCTGCAGTCAAATTGGACCAATGACAGAACAGTTTGTTTACAATATTTAGTCCACTGTTAAATGTTGCAGTGTGAACACAGTCTGAAAAAAGGTGCAACATTGTATAACTACATAAATGCCCTGAAACACTGAAACAAAGTTTCAATAAACTCCAGTTTAACGTCACTTTAAAGGAGAAATAAGAAGGACGAGGATACAGGGACACTGTCAGAGGTGGATTGCATCATATTCCATTTACTATTAACCACACATAGTGGCTAAATGATTTAAAATTCAAAATGTAAAGTTACACATCACAACTGATCATCAGAGGTAGGAGAAAATTGAAATTACTTGAACACAGTAAACCACATAAAGAACAAATAGTGGCACATGCATAGTCTCAGAAACAGATAAGAATAAAAAGGGAGGAGTCCATCATAGAGAGAGAGAGGTAACATTACAAGTAAGAGACGAGAGTATTAACTCTCCATAAGGGTAGTTTTATAACTCATTATTTTGGGTAAAATCCTATTAATTTTTTACAAATTATATTTAATATGAATTATTACTCCATTAGACCACCATTAAATGTTTTCTCTCACACAGCCCCTGGAGGCCACTCGCGCACCCCGTGTCCTAACCTGTACTCCTAACCACTGTAGCTTGACCTCTGTGGAAAACTTCATGTGGTCAAGGAAAAATGGTTAGAAGAAGAATGTGTTGTTTGGGGGAAACGACTCCACTTTCACTAAGCAACGTAGTTATGATGAACGGGAGTCGCACGTTAGTGACGTCAGTCTGCAGAGGCGAAACTACTATGAAGCATCTCTGATGCCTTCATGTGTTCTTACAGGGCTGAGTCATGAGGACAATACAAACAACCAGTTCAATATTTAAGGAGTGACGTATCATTGGGCCGTTCACAAGAAATAACGATCATGACATAGAAACGCAGATCATGTGGATAACCACATCACTCATTTATGTTAATACAGTTTTACTTTGAACCTGGTTGTTTGTATCGTCTGCATGACTCACCTTGTATCAACACATGAAGCATCTAAGATGCTTCTTTGGAGCCGCTGCAAACTGACGTCACCAACATGCGTCTCCGTCGTGGCAGGCAACTTATCTACTTCCTGTACTGCCCTTCCAATTCCTGTCTGTCAGTTATGGGACTTTTGTACATCCTATCCTTCTGTCCCCACAGGACGTGCAAGTCCTTTACAGTCAAATGGCAGGAGTTGAGTTGAGAGACAAACCTGATGCTTCCATTGAAACCAGTCTGGACCAGATCCTGGCCTACATCAGGTGCCACTGGGAGAAGGTGATGGAGCGGAATCGAGCGGAGACAGACAGCTACCTGGAGTGTAAGGTGAGGACATTTCACCTGCACAGGTGTGTCCTCTCACTTTGTCCATTCTTGTGTGTTGATGATGTGTGTGTGTGTGTGTGTGTGTGTGTGTGTGTGTGTGTGTGTGAGCGAGTTGCAGGAGGTGCAGTGTGTTAGGAGCAGACTGAGTCCGGAGGAGGAGCAGGTAGAAGCGCTGAAGGCCGAATGTCACGACACCGGCTGCAAGATCCAGAGTCTGCAGGCCGAGACAGAGTCCATCAGAGCGCTGGTGAGAGTATAGCTTTGATCACTACCCTCCATCGATGGCCCAGACCAATAGCTTCTATCAACAACCCCCAATTTTTCCGGCTCGCAAGCTAGTTTTCAACTGACCAAGTCATGGCGATCTATTCCCCCCCTCCCACATCAAGGTCCGGGGGGGTAGCAGTGTAGTAGTCGGGCGAACGAGTAGTAGAAGTAACCCAACGGAACAACAGAGCTGCATGCCGTCAGCGCAAAATGATTCAATATAAAGAAAACAACGAGCCTCTCATGTGTCAGAAGGAGGGAACCGTCAGAACCATTCCACACATTCTTAGTCATTCCCTCACTGGATGACTTGCACCGATTCGAGTCAGCCTGGGTTGCTTTTGAATGAAATTAAATGGGTCTGTTAGTAAGCAAGGATCGTGAATCAGCATTAGCATTAGTTTTCCGTTAGCTCCTGTGGTCGACTGGTCAACAGCTCCTCCCGCCTTGCTGTTATGCTCCCACAGAGACGTGGTCTGGAGAACTCGCTGGGCGATGCCCGGCGCTGGCACGAGATGGAGCAACAGAACCTAGGCTCGCTGGTGGCCAAGCTTGAGGCGGAGCTCTCCGATGTGCATGGTGAGATCGAGGAGCAGCGGCGCGACTACGACACGTTGCTGGGCAACAAGCAGCACCTGGAGCAGGAAATTGGCATTTACCACGGCATCCTGGACGGGGAGGAGAGCCGCTTCCATCCCGCATATCTGGCGTGAGTCCAGCAGATCATGTGGCTGGCTCGAGATGATGAGATGAGATGATGAAACATTAACACATCCTTTCACTGAATAATGAAATTCCTCCTCCAGGTGTCCAGGTCAACATTCAGAGCCTGAGGGGGCAACCGGTGGTTCTGCTCCTCCAGGCCCTCAATGAATCCCTGGACCACCTGGACCTTCTGGACCTTGAGGAAATCCAGGACGCCCATGGATGTCCTAGACCTCCTGGACCTTATTGTCCAATTTGACCCCCTGAACCCACTGGACCATGAGGAAATCCAGGATGCCCATGGATGTCCTAGACGTCCTGGACCTTAATGTCCAATTTGACCCCATGAACCCACTGGACCTTCTCAACCTCCTGAACCTCCAGGAACTTCTGGATCTCAAGTACCTCTTGGAGCTTCAGCACTTTCTGGGCCTCCTGGATTTTCAGGCCCTCAATGACCTCTTGGACCTCCAGGACCCCCTGGACTGGTGATTCCACAGGAGGATCTGAGGAGTAGTTTGAATTGGAGGGTTTTCTGCCTGGTGTTGTGTGCAGGTGTGAGTGCGAGTGTGGTGTGATATCAGAGAAGAAGTCCTTAGGTAAATCGGTTTCCACAACACCCGAAGACCTCACCTGAAATGTACCGTATCACAGGTGTGAGACAGTACAGCCTCTTGTCAATGCTACACTCGGCCTAGGCAGCCAATCAAACCAAGCAAGAGGTGGGCCTTACTACTAAACCCCTGACTTCCTGTTTAGAAGGGCTATGTACTGGTCAACGAGTAAACGCACCTGACAAAGTTCACCAGAGCTGAACTGTCAGGGGAAAATGCACCTTTACATCTAAGAGTTGATTATTTAAACTGTAATGTCACGGGTTAGATTCCACCGCTGTAATTGGTTATAAATGCTAATAAAGGGTCTTTGATCATGACATATTAATATGTTTACCTCTGATTATCATAATGCTTTTGTGAATTAACTGAATCGTAAAATAATTTTTAATAGCTTTAAAAAGACTTATGCTTACTTATCACCATATGTGCTGGGGACCAGGGGGCGGAGCAATGCATGTGTTGCGCGATAGCACAGCAATTGGTGACGGGCAGGCGACAGAATATCCGGTAAGTGGTGTGGTTTGCGGAGGTATGGCGGTTCCGGCCGGGTCTCAACCAGTTCCTGAGCTGAACAGTTTTGATGGCGGTATCACTATAAAATATCACACTACATCACTGGCTACCGGTGGCTGCCCGCATCCAGTTCAAAAGACTGGTTCTCACGTACCATGCTGTGAATGGATGGGGTCCAGCTTACCCCGTGATTGTCTGTTGCGTCATGATTGTTTCCAGGTGTTTCCAATAACCTGCACCTCCCTAGTGTATTTTAAGTCATGTGTGTCTCGTCACTTGTCGCGTCATTGTTAACTCCAACGCCATTGTTAACTCATAGTGTTGATTCTTGTCTGCGTTTTTGCCCCTTGGCTTTTGCTTTTTTTGGAAATTTTGACGATTAAAGTCCTTTTGTTTTGGAAATTCTGCGTTTGAGTCCTGCCTTCCACGCATCCTGACACTGAAGGGTACCATCAAAAAAAAAAAGAGTATATAAATTTGACAGGTGTGTTTCACCCGATGACATCAGGACCAGTGTCATGTGACATTAGTAATCTGCTTCTTATAATGTTTCAAAATAAAAGCTTTTCACGGAGTCGCAGAGCTGAGATCTTCGTGTTTCCATCATAGGTGATGCATATAAACTAGCGCCAGGCAACAATTAAAATGTTTAATCTCAAATCATGTCTTCTGTTATAGCAAAACACCCATCCATCCATCCATCTTCAACCGCTTATCCGGGGTCGGGTCGCGGGGGCCACAGCTGCAGCAGGGGATCCCAAACTTCCCTTTCCCGGGCCACCTCTACCAGCTCTGGGAGATCCTGAGGCGTTCCCAGGCCAGTGCAGAGATATAATCTCTCAACCTAGTCCTGGGTCTTCCCCGGGGCCTCTTCCCAGCTGGCCGTGCCTGGATCAACTCCCTAGGGAGGCGCCCAGGGGGCATCCTCACCAGATGCCCAAACCACCTCAACTGGCTCCTTTCGACGCAAAGGAGCAGCGGCTCTACTCCGAGCTCCTCACGAATGGCTGAGCTTCTCACCCTATCTGTAAGGGAGACGCCAGCCACTCTCCTGAGGAAACCCATTTCGGCCGCTTGTACCCGTGACCTAGTTCTTTCGGTCATGACCCATCCTTCATGACCATAGGTGAGGGTAGGCATGAAGATTGACCGGTAGACCGAGAGCTTTGCCTTCCGGCTCAGCTCTCTTTTCATCATAACGGTGCGGTAATGCGAGTGCAATACCGCCCCTGCTGCTCCGATTCTCCGGCCAAACTCACTCACTCACTCGTGAACAAGACTCCGAGGTACTTAAACTTTTCTCTCAGGGGACCTGGTTATATGCCTTCTCCAAGTCCACAAAACACATGTAGACTGGATGAGCATACTCCCAAGCCCCCTCCATGATCCTGGAAAGAGTAAAGAGTTGGTCCGCCGTTCCACGACAGGACGAAAACCGCATTGTTCCTCTTCAATCCTTGGTTCGACTATCGGCCAAACCTTCCTTTCCAGCACCTTGGATTAGACTTTACTAGGGAGGCTGAGTAGTGTGATACCCCTGTAATTGGCACACACTCTCTGGTCCCCCTTTTTGAAGAGGGGTACCACCACCCCGGTCTGTCACTCTTTTGGCACTGTCCCAGACTTCCACGCAATGTTGAAGAGCCGTGTCATCCAAGACAGCCCCCCAACACCCATTGCTTTTAGCATCTCTGGACCGATATCATCAAACCCCAGGGCTTTGCCACTGCAGTGTCGTTTGACTACCTCAGTGACCTCCACCAGGCAAATTGACGCTGACTCCTCTTCCGCCTCCAGCTCCGCCTCTACCAGAGGGCGTAGTAGTTGGATTCAGGAGTTCCTCAAAGTGTTCCTTCCACCGCCCGATAACCTCCTCAGTCGCGGTCAACAGGGTCCCATCCTTACTGTACATAGCTTAGATTGGTTCCCCGTTTCCCCCTCCTGAGGTGCCGGTGAGTTACCCCAAACTCCTCCCATACTCGCTGCTTTACCTCCATCACGGCAGAGGCGGCTGCCCTTCGAGCCTGTTGGTACACTGCAACTGCCTCCGGAGTCCCATCAGATATCATAAGGCCTCCTTCTTCAGTCGGACGGCTTCCCTGACCACCGGTGTCCACCACGGGGTTCGAGGTTTACCGCCCCTTGATGCACCGAAGACCTTGAGGCCACAACTCACTGCCGCGGCTTCAGCAATGGAAGTTTTGAACATACACCACTCTGGTTCAATGTCCCCTACCTCCACAGGAATGTGAGAGAAGCTCCGCCGGAAGTGTGAGTTGAAAATCTTTTGGACTGCAATAGCAAAACAATTTTAATTTGTAATAGGCACCTTCCAACAGCAGGTGAACATTTATAAATCTATTTTTCTGAAAAGGTACCAGTGGAAACAGGCTCTGTTCAGTAGTTATGGTATTTGGTATGAATGTACGTTGGTGCATTGATGTTCATAAGAAGCAGTACACGGAGGACCTTAGTTTGTTCTCATGTTTGTATTCAACAAGGAAGTAGTGGTTGCAAATAATTCATAACTTTTGTTCTACAAACTGTAAGAGATTTAAAATGGAAAGGTCCACATAGAAGATCACTGCTTTTCTCCATCGTTCATGGGAGCTTGAGGACCAGTCTTAGGGCGAGCCTCCAGTAGTCCCATGTGGCAGATGAGATGTTTTTTTCCTCTTCAGCTTTATAATGACAAGAGTTTCATTTTGTCTCTGAATGAAGTAGAATTGATCCGTGATCAGTAACAATCATTTTTCACACACAAAAATAATATGATTAGTGTAACAGTTGAATCAGGAAACTGCAGCCTTTTTATTGATCTCCAAACATCTAACCCATCAAAAACATCACTGTGGGTGCAAGGAGGCTAGTGACGAATCAATAACTGTTTCATCTCAGTCCATGGAAATTTGAGCAAGAATTTTAGTCAATGAAAAATGATTTAATCAGAAAAATGTTAACATTTTAGATTCATTCTTGGGCTTTTTACTCCATGGCCATGGCCTTCTTCAGCAGTTAACGTAACATTAGCCGAATTGTCTCTGTGACAAAAGTGGGACGTCACTACCGATGCAGCCAAAAGCTGTGTGTAGAAAGGATGAGCACTCCTCGTCACCATGGTAACATGACAGGACATCATGATCTGAATCAGATGTCGACGTTGAGCGAGATGAGTCAACCTACAATTGCCTTGGTGGTTACCGTGGAGACGAGACGTGTAAACCAACGGGGACTAGCAGGTTAGCAACACGTTTGAGTACCTCCAAGTAAAAGTCAAGTGTCCCTTGTAAAATAAAAAAGCCCAACATTAACGCCAAAATAAATCGGCCAGTTGACCAGCTCCTTCCTGGGTACCAAATTGACCTTAGCATGGTGGAATTAGCAAGTACCCATCTCGCCCAAGCCTAGGAATCAGCAGATGGTGAATATGGATCTGCCAGACAAACCACAGAAAGGAACAGACTCAGTAGCCGGACATTCCACTCCCATGTACAATTCGGTTAGAGGTTTTTAATTCAAACGTTTGTTTCCGTGTCCTGTCAATCAAACGCTTTTGATTATAGTCAATCAATGAAAACCGTTCACGGGAGCGGTCCTCCTGTTCAAGTCAGCAGCTTTGTTTTTGAGGAGAAAGAAACTTCCAGTTGGTTCTTTTTAATCAAGTATAAAATCAATATTGATCAGTTAATCAGTCTATTACCGCAATGCTAGCAGCGAACCTCTGCGGGCTAGCTCTACCGTCTTTACCCACAATCCCACAAAGCCCGGTGTCAGTGTGCAGGTCTGAGCCGTCGTGCCGATAAAGCTCAGTGTCAGTAATGATTAAATCTCCCACTTGGAATGGCCGGTTTTAGGTGGGCTGCAAAGGGATGCAGCCTACCCCAACCCCCCCCTCATGGCAGCCCATGGGGGTCCTGAAGGTCCATCGGTTGGAGTCGGGGTTGTACATCTCCACCGAGCTGAGGTTGGACTGCCCGTCGTAGCCACCCACCGCGTACAGGCGCCCCGAGGTCGGCACCAGCGACACTCTGCTGCGCCGCGTGTTCATGGCCACAAGAAGGCTCCACTGCCCACCTGCCGAGCTGAACACCTCTGCGCCGCTCAGGAAGCCCGAGCCGTCGTACCCCCCCGCCACGTACATGTGACTGCCCAGAGCTGCAGCCCCGTGACGGCAGCGTTTGTTCATCATGGCCGCTGCCGGGTGCCAATGGTTGGTGTGGTGGTTGTAGTACTCCACCTGCAGGACAGCAGGAGTGGCAATAAATATAAATATATATTAGTACATTTTATGAAATAAGTAAAATGTATTTTGAATGCATTCATAAATGAATACTAAAACATCTAGGTGTTGATTACGTTTTATTAATTACATTTATATATATCAATAGTAAATAAGTTTATATTAAATACATATATTGATTACAAACAGGGAGGTGAAGGAGCTTCCGACTCAACATCAAACAATTTAAACATATTCCTCTGTTTAATGCAATGAGATGATGAAAGGAACTCTGAAGTAGTACTCTTGGTTATACATAGTTTTGCTTTTAACGAGTATGCCTTCTGGTAGATATTTAAAATGAAAATCTCCATTTAAAAATGGTCCAGGGTTAAAGGTTAATGTGCACAGCAGTGCTGAGCCCCTCCCAATGCTCCAGAAATGAAAAGAAAATTAATTCCGACACCACCACCACGACATAAAATCATGGTGTCGGAATTAATGGATTGCTAGCCTAACATATTTATAACACGTTTACTTCCCAACTCTACTTTAGACACATTTATTTACAACAATTCACATTCACTTTTAACCCTTGACCATCAAACTGACCGTGTTGAAGATCTGCAAACCGTCATGGCCGCCGGAGACAAAGATGCGTCCGTCAAACATCGTCACACCGGCAGCACTCCGACTCGCACTCATTTCTGTCACCACAGTCCACGTGCAGTGGATTCAATACGTAATAAGGTAACTGTTTGAGGAAGAATGCTGACAAAAAACACATCTGCTGACGTCAGGCATATGGGTGACGCTAACGCCACGCCCCCCTTAAGATGCTAACGTAAGGCTTATGGATGACACTAACGCCACGCCCCCCTTAAGATGCTAACGTCAGGCTTATGGATGACGCTAACGCCACGCCCCCCTTAAGATGCTAACGTCAGGCTTATGGATGACGCTAACACCACGCCCCCCTTAAGATGCTAACGTAAGGCTTATGGATGACACTAACGCCACGCCCCCCTTAAGATGCTAACGTCAGGCTTATGGATGACGCTAACGCCACGCCCCCCTTAAGATGCTAACGTAAGGCTTATGGATGACGCTAACGCCACGCCCCCCTTAAGATGCTAACGTCAGGCTGATGGGTGATGCTAAAGCCTAGTTTATGCTTCTGCGTTTTCAGAGCGACGCTGACGCAAGCCCCCCTTGCGTGTCCCTTGCGTCCCCTCCCAAACGCAGAACCATGCGCCGGCCTTAACGCCAGGCCCCCCTTAAGATGCTAACGTCAGGCCCCTCTACAATGCTAACACCGGGACCCTCTTTGACAGGGATTCACAGAGTGGGCTGCACGAGAGAAAACATTTAATGGTGGTCTAATAGAGTAATAATTCATATTAAATATCATTTTGTAAAATATTTTTACACAAAATAGCGACATCAATTATAAAACTACCCTTAAAGATTAAAAATTTGACAATTAATAAATAACGTTATTAATTAGTAATGAATATACAATTTAATAAACAAATAAGGCGCACTTAAAGGCTTTTAATTTTCTCAAAAAACGACAGTACGCCTCATAATCCGGAGCGCCTTATGTATATATGGATCAATTGGTTAATCGGTTGATCCATACTGGTTGTACACGGCGCTCAAGGCGCTCTGCCAAACATGCCAAAGCTCGTCTACGACGGCGAGATGCTGAGCGGCGCTCAAAAGCGTGAGATATGGAGCTGCTTTCAGGGCGCGTTGGAGAAACAAAGCTGTCGTTCTCGCCGAGCGCTTCATGAGATTAAAGAGCGAGAGATGGTGCCCTTTTCTCTACAGTAGCTGAACCATCTTAACAGGGAAAATAAGTTATTCTAAAAGGGGCCCTTGGCAGGTGGCGTGGCTGGAGAGCAGCCGAAGATTTAAGTAGAAATCGATCGGACCCTGAAAGCACCGTCTCCACCTCCCCACATCCCCCCATACACCCGCCCCGACGTCAAACGTTTGACTGCAGTATCTTATGCGCCTTATAATCCGGTGCGCCCTGTATATGAAAAATGTTCTAAAATAGTATTACCTTCAATGAACGACCTAACGTCTCTTGCTTGCTAGTTACCTCTCTCTCTCTCTGATGGACTCCTCCCTTTTTATTCATGTCTGTTTCAGAGACTATGCATGTGCCACGATTTGTCTTTACGTGGTTTACTTTAAGTAATTTCCTCTGACAATCAAGTCGTGATGTTCAACTTTACATTTTGAAATTTTGTAGTCACTCATAATCACTCACAAGAAGTCAAGAGGCCATAAAGCTCATTTCATTCACACAACTTTCTAAGTCACCAAAATTGCTAATTCATGTTAACGTATGTATATTTTTGACCCAGCAGACCATCACTTTTTCTGTTAACCCATAATAAAGTCATAAAAGAAGCAAACTTTATGAATGTTTTTGTGACAAAGTATCTGTTCCAATCACTATCAGAGAGAAATCAGAGTTGTAGAAATAACTGGAAACTCAAGAGAGCCACGACATTATGTTCTTTACAAATGTATGTCAACGTTTGACCACAACTGTATGATGCTAGCATGATGCCCTGCTGTGAAGCTAACGTGTGGCTATGAAGCTAACCTCTATCAGGTAACTCACCTGTCGCTCTCTGGAGAGTAACACTCCACAGAATTCAGAGATGACGTTCCGTCGTAGCCACCGCACACGTAGATATTACCGTCAATCACAGCCGTTCCCATGGCGCTGAGGATGACACCATGTATGATTACCCGTCTACGGTGCAATGATCCGAGTATTGATTTGTGTATAGTTGTGTGCAATGATCCCAGTATTGATTTGTGTATAGTTCTGCGCAATGATCCGAGTATTGATTTGTGTAGTTGTGCGCAATGATCAGAGTA